TCCAATGCGTCCGAGCAGCGATTAAAAGTTGGCATCAAACTAGCTCCAGCTCAAAGCTAAGCCCCCAGCTCTGGAAGATGAATTTCTCCTGATAAGTGGATCCTCTCTCCAGAAGAATTGCTGTCAGGACTGTCTGGCAGAAAGTGGATGAAGTGTGGAGCCAAACGACTATATGCACAGCTGCTTCCCGGCAGCAAGGCTCCAGCTCATCCATCAGTCCACCACGAGCTCATCCCCAAGCAGCCTGCACACCACCCGGCTAAAGCAGTCCTCTGATCCCGGGATGCACCCGCAATGCCTCTGAATCCGTTTATTTACACAGACCAAAACACAAACTGGTTTGGATCACTGTTTTAGAAGAAAAGCAAACACGACATGATTTTTCAGCACGCTCTCTGACCAACGTCGTTGTGTTAAGCAGAATCTCAAAGAAGGCTGAGGGAGGAAATGTTTGTAGAAATAAACCGGTAACACCATTCATATAGATTTTGCAGTCTTCAGATTGAGTGATTGGTGAGGGTGTCATGATTGGTCATAAAAGGAGCAGAGGCTTAGTGGTTGCCAACAAATTTGTTCTGTTGCTCGCCCCTCCGTCAACCTTCAGCCCCAAACTGTGAAGAACTGAATTCTAGCTACAGACCCTACAGCTCATTTTCTGAAAAGATCCAGCGAGCGAGCCAGACTCTAATTTTGTGCGATCCAGGGTACAGCAGCCATGCGGTCATAAACACAGTTTGTGTTTGACTGGTCTGTTTGCATTCCAGATCCGTCCCGTATTTAAAGGCTGCTGCAAATCAGGAGATTTTTTTTTCTTCCGAAACCCGAGAATGTTCAGCAGCTGAAATGTTGGACCCAGATTCCTCTGGTGAAACTTGGCATCCTCAGTTCCCAAAGGAACAAAACACAGAGGTCGATAAATTTGTTTTTATTCTCCTTAATACAGTGAATTTCAAAGTTTAGGACATTAAAAACTATTTTCACTGTTCTGTTTATAGATTTCGTGCACTAGATAGCTTTGTTGAAACGTCTTCTTTTTTTTTGTGGGGGGGGGGTGAATAAGTGGATTGTTACTATACGACAGTGCGCACATATGTGCACAATTTACTAGATCCCATGTAAGCGGATATAAACCAGCATGACTCGGTGTTGTCTTTGCATTCTCGGCCGTGGTTCCTTAAATGAAAATATATTTTGACATAATTATGGCTTTGCCTGTTATCAAAATATCTCCAAAAGAACCCGAAGCAGCATCTGGAGGGATCAAAGGATCAAAGTATGGGCTTGTGTGCTTTGGTTCACATTTTGGCTCCTGGTGTAGCGGCCGCTCTAATTTCCTGTACACTTTCCTCCTCCTCACATGTTGCAGAAGGGAACAAACGGGGCAGAGAAGGAGCCTCGTGGCACATTCTTTCATGTCCTAGCTTGTCAAACTCCCCTCCTCTGTTTTTCATCTTCCTTGTTCCTTTTTCGCCCTCTGCCCCCCTCTGTTCTTTACGTTGCTTTGTAGTCTAGATTTGGGAAACTAAAGTCTGTGATTGCATTTTGGGCTCACGCCACACAGCCTGCCTTTAGGTGTTGTATGATGTCAGATGTCACAGCGGTTGCCCCGGAGCCACGCATCATGAGAAAAGCATGTTTTAATGACATTGCATTCCTGTCATCCTTTGAACCAAGTTCATCTCTTCAAATATTTGAAATGTTTGCTGTCTTAGAGCCGGCAGTGAATGACGATGCGAGGCACTTTTGGGCTGCTGCGGACAAATGCTGCCTCGCCTAAAAGCCATCGGATTTCTTCTTTCTCTCTAAGAGTGGCTTGTTCTTTTTCTTCTCCCCGACAGACATGGCAGCCATTCGGAAGAAACTGGTGATCGTCGGGGATGGAGCTTGCGGGAAAACATGTCTTCTCATTGTTTTCAGTAAGGACCAGTTTCCTGAGGTCTACGTCCCAACGGTGTTTGAGAACTACATCGCTGATATCGAGGTTGATGGAAAACAGGTTGGTGCTACTGACAGTAAAGTAAGCAGTGCTGAAGTCATGTGAACAGATGAGCTTTTCCAGTGTTTGCTGCAAGCCACCGTGGTTCCTATATTTCAGATAAAAGCGACCTCCATGACTGTGGCTGCTGCTATTTCTGGCGAGCTTTCCATTCTTGCACAGCACATTTCCGATAACAATGTAGCAGATTTACTCAAGAGAGTGTTTTCCCGTTGGGGAAAAAAAAACTCAGCTTCGCTCACATGTTCGTGACAGCATTCCAAACATCTTCGCACTCTTCCTCGTTTGGTATGCAATTTCACCTTCACGCTTCTACCACATTTGGGGTAATGTTTGGAGTCTGGGAGGACAAAACAGTCGCAAAACATTATAGCCTCTTTTCAGACAGATGTGGAAGATAAAAACCAAAGGTCAAACTGTTCTATTTCTGGAAAGCAGATAGAAATCAAAAAAGTTGTTTGTTTGTTTTTTGGTTTGTTTGTTTGTTTTTTATTTTGCCCCACCTACAAACATGTTTAGTCCCACTATAAGTAGGGACTTTTTAACATGGGGTGTATGAGTGTTTTTGAAGTAGTTTGTGTTGGTAGTGAGCAAATGTACACATTTGTACTTGGTTTCCTACTCGGGTAGTTGTGTAGTCTTAAACGAGGTAATTACGGTGTTTAAGCTGTGATTGGACACTTTGCATTTGGAGAGGTGGATTGTCCTGGTGGGATGGAGAGCTTTTCTTTTTGTGGTCAGTCCTCCTGCTCCGCAGTGTGTGTGTGTGTGTGTGTGACATCATGAGTCTGAGTCACAGGGTGGAGCCTCGGCTGCAGATGGCCTCTTCTGTCAAAGGGTTTTGTTTTCTTGATCCGTTCTCTTGACCACTGCCGCAGGATCACAACTTGGGAAAACAGGAAATTACTCTACTTCCTGGCTTCCTGTTCAGACAGGGAACGGAGATCTCTCATGGCAATCCCCCTCCCTCCCCCAGGACCCTCCTCCTGCTCCTGTCTGATAAGTCCTTTATTTCCTGTCTTTCTTGTCCTGGCTGCTCTTAGGTGGAGGGAGGGGTTAACTTCTCTGGGGTTTTCATATGGAATACACAGTTAAGAATCCATAATGTACATCGGGCTGGAGGAGGATCATTTGGGAACATGAGTATGTAGTCCTTATGTGTCCCTCTGGAGGTTGGCTGTTCTATAAGAATCAGTCCCCTCCCACACCCCTCAGGGACAAAACATGTTCTCTCTCATACCTTTACTAGACGAAGCAGATTCTATAAATAGCTGTTTTTTTCCCTTTTTCTGTTGCTCCCTGATGTCTGCAGCTTATAGCAAGTCCAGCGGGAACATAATGATCTGGTTGCTCATGCAGTCTCAACAGCGTTCAGCCACTTCCCACCCTCTGCCTCTGCAAAGCTCTATTTTAGGCCTGTTGACTGATTCCTGTGCCCTCTGTGGGCATACCAGAAATTGCCCTCATTCTGTAAAGTTCCAGTTTTCAAAACTCTGTGAAAGTTTTCGCCGCCCGAAACTATCGAGTCAGCTAATAAGCGGACACTATTTAAGCCGGGCTGGTAATGGCTCTGCAGGGACAGAAGGTATCTGATTTGATGCTCACTAATCTCCCACTTCCCCTAATTGAATTAATCAGCGGCGTGATGGGATGAAGCCGGCCCTCATGTTCACTTCCTGCACACTGACAACATAACAGACTTTTGAAGCTCTGCTCGGGTCGGAGCTGCTTCGGGGACGATGAGAAAACGTCTGCAAGCCGTGTTCCGGCAAACGAGAAATGAGTTATAGTTCAAATAAACACATCTCAAGCAAGATGCAAGGTATCAGTAGCCAGAGGAGGGAAGAGTTCAGTCATGTTAACATGATTTACTTCCTCATATTTAAGGCACTGGCCTTTTGGAAATTTACTGACAGTCCACGTGCGTCATCGTCTAACGTCTTGGCACTATGTGCATGAGAAAGCGACTGAATAACTTTTTGCAGTGACAGCTTTGCTGTTTCATCGGGATCACAGGGTGCCACTTTGTACAATCCCAGTGGACGTGCTAGCCTTAAATTATATCCCCTGAAATTGCTCACTTTTAAGAAATCCAAACAAACAAAAGGCGGTTGTAATAAAGTGTAAAATATATCCCTCCCGCTGTGTTTTGGAAAGGTTTTGTGTTTTTGTGTGAGCGGCTTACGTAATGCTTCCTCTCTCCAGGTGGAGCTGGCATTGTGGGACACTGCAGGCCAGGAGGACTACGACAGGCTGAGGCCTCTCTCGTACCCCGACACAGATGTCATCCTCATGTGCTTCTCCATTGACAGCCCAGACAGCTTGGGTGAGGGGCTCATTCGATGATTCCTACATTTGATTGTTCTATCATTCATTTTTAATGTGATAGCTTTTGGTGAAAACAACAATAAAGTCATAGTTATTTGCTGTCGTTTACACTGTGTAAAAGCAGGTTTTTCGTTATCTGCTTGTTAAATGCTTTAATGGAGTCGGTGGGAACTGGGATCAGTGCAGCTAAAAACATCATTGCCCCAGGCAGTCTGCAAAGCAATCCATCATGAAAACTGTTCTGCACCATGACTCTGGACTGCTCGCCCTTTTTTCTTTTTTTTTATCACTCCCCTCCTTCCTTTCCTGCCTTTAGAGTATCTCAGCTGACTTCTTTTTCTCTCCCGGGACAGAAAACATCCCTGAGAAGTGGACTCCCGAGGTGAAACACTTCTGTCCCAATGTGCCAATCATCCTGGTGGGGAATAAGAAGGACCTGAGGAACGATGAGCACACACGGCGAGAGCTGGCCAAGATGAAGCAGGTATGTAGGGCGCTGAGCGGGTGACTGGGACACAGCTAGCTGGCTATTAATATCTCAGACTCTAAAGGCCCGCGGATCTAACGTATGTCTGATTTACCTATGGGGATGTTGGTGGCATTTCATGACGTTTTAGGTTTTAGGTAACATTGCGTTGTTTTATTATCCTATACGCAGACTGCAGAAGTGCAAAGTTGATTGTTGGGAAGAATTTAATCCTCATGCCTCTCACTCAGATTGATTATTGTTTGACTACTTTTGATTTTTGATGAAAGCTATATTTCCAAAGCGTAACCAAGGCAGTGTCTGACAGTGAAACATGGTCAAAGATGTGCACAAGGACAAAAAATGTCTCATGGAAATGCTCTTTGCTATTTAGTCACAGCTAAAATGGAGGAATGGGAGGAGAAAGATAGAAAAAGCTTGTTTTAGACATGAGATGCATAACATTGATGCCAGCATAATATCATATTGAGATTTTTTTTCTTGTTTTTGAGCAGAAATGCTCCTTTTTTTAAGAGGCGCTTTCATTTGCTGATGGTCCTGTAAGAAAGTGTTTTTGATCACCTCAATTCGTAGTGAGGAGTGCATGCTCATCCATTTTAGTTTAGTTATTGTGAAATTTTGAAACATAAACTCTCCGCTGTCTCCTCTTTTATTTACCCATCTGTCACTGAGAGTGGACTTGCCCCTAAAAACAACAATGACAGTGGTCTGAAAGCTTTCCCTGACCTTTTAGTCATGCCACACTGACAGCAACAGATTGGTTCACTCTGTCACAGCATGCCTCTGCTGCCCATTCTGTCCTTTTCCTGGTCCAGCTGATAATGACAACATGTTGACAAAGCTCTACAGCTCTTTTTTGGACACCATTGTCAGCCCTTTTCTTTTCTGCAGAAACCAGGGACTGTTTGACAAAGAGGAGCACAAAGTCATCAGTTTAGGTGTTTCAGACTTTAAATGGACAGACTTCGTTAGTCTAGCATGTTCAAGCTATTTAAATAAGTGTCACTCAAACGTATCAATACCTATATATTTTTGTTCAGAAACTATGGAGATTGGCATAAAAATACAGCCGCATCGTCCTCGGATTATCTTGATTTTACAAAAATGGGTTGTGGTATGTCTGGAACTGGACATTGTACTAGCGATATTTAGTTGCTTAGTTAGTGAGATGCTCCTCCAAAGGTTTTCCTTTTTATTCTTTTTGGAGGTGAGGCTTACATTTGAAATCCAGGCCATTCTGTTGACTAAACCCTTGTTTGACAAAGATCAACAGCGTATTATCTTGTTTGAGGAGCTGAAATGTGATTATATTGGGATTTTAGTTTAAAAGAGAAATGAAACATTGACAAAGTATCAGACTTCGGTGCCGATTCTATTCCGTGGTTTAAGGAACTGCCCGCTTAAGAATTGGTTTCTATTGTTTCAAATGGGTCTAATTATTTCCAATCTAATCCTGCAGGAGCCTGTGAAGGCAGAGGAGGGCAGAGACATGGCCGGCAGGATCAGCGCTTTTGGCTACCTGGAGTGCTCTGCCAAGACGAAGGATGGTGTGCGGGAAGTGTTTGAGATGGCCACTAGAGCAGCACTGCAGGTCCGCAAGCACAGGAAGAGAGGCGGCTGCTCGTTGCTGTGAGAAGTCCAGATGCAGATGCCACAAATTCAACTGACCAATAGAAGAAAAGCAAGAAACTGAAGAACTGACTTATTACCAAATAGATCTTTGTACTGTATCTTGCTTTTCTCCCAAACAGGCAGATGAACACAAACAAAACCAGTGCAGGAAAAGAACTTGCCCATTTTACAACCATGGTGAGGAGATGTTCAAAGCTCTTTATTGATTTGCTTTAGTTCCAAAATCTGTCTTTACTTGTATTTTTCTTTCCAAAATTGTCTTTCTTCACATTTGTAGTGTAACAAGGCTGTGGTGGGTGCACATATACGTATGAATTATTGTTCTTTAAGAGCTGTGAACAGCATCCCTCTTATGATGCGTGAACAGTTGATCTCCGTTTGTAATTGTAGCAGTCACCATAGCAAAAAAACACAAGTTTTTGTTTTGTTTTTCAGTTTGTATGCCAACATCTTTATATCTTTGTCTGCTGGCATTTAAGGCGAGGACCTCTTCATTGTACTGTAGCTCATTTTACACAATGTTTGCATTGCGCAAACTGAGAAAGACCATAACTAAGGCTTTCTGTGCTGAGGTGAACTCATTAGGAAAAACAAATGGTTGCTTTAGTCACCTTGCATTCTCCATTTTCAGTCCACTCACAGTGAGAATGAAGGCAGTCAGCTGGTTCTGTGATGTTGGAAATAAACAGCGAAGGCGTGACTTTTCTATTCTGCACCCCTCGTAACTCTAATCACTGTAGTGGACCTAGTTGGTGAGGGGAAGAGGCCAGTGGAGACATAGGCTAATATGACTCAACTATGCACAACAGCTATCAGGAGCTACAGGGAAATGACACAGCTGGAGCAGAAAATTGCGTGGAGGCCAAGGCCTGTTTGTTTATTGTGACTCACCTAGCTCAGCTCTTCTGCTACCAGTTAAATGAGCCTGTCACACCCGCCGTTGGAGCAGGAATTTCTGACCGGTTAGCCCAGCCATGGAAATTATGTCCTCATAGCTCGTTGCCCGTTTCCAGCCAGACAACATTCTTTACGTGTCTGAGAGGAGCCAAGATGTTATTGAGCAGTTTGTTTTTCCCTGGTGCCTTCCCTGTTCTGGCGTGCCTTTGGCTGTTTCCTCCCAGACCAGACTGACCAGCCTGATGTATGCCGTCCTGATACTGGCTGGACAAAGCGAAGAGTAAACTTCCTGACACGTCTGACAGGGCTCGCTTTCTGGAACGGTGTCGTTGGTCTGCTGAAATGCACGTGGGGGCTAAGAATTAAGATTTTCTGTAAAACTGCAGTCTCATCTGTGTTGATTACGCTGATACACATCTCAGTGTTTAGCTCATGGAAAATGACTAGATTGTAACACATTCCTTGCTCGGAACACACCCGTCTGAGACACTTTAGTTGTTTCATGACTGCCAGAAGTTTGCACAACATTCAAGATTGTATGTCTCAATGCAAATCACCGAGGGTTTACTTAAGTTTTTAGTCAGGGTAACGACTTTGAGTTGTTTCAGGCGCTCATCCTTTCCCAGTTTTGGCTCACGTGCCCCTTCAGAATACTCGGTTCATCTGAAAATACAACAGCCCTTTTAACATCCAGCGATTTTTCCTCGGGCCCATTCCTTCTCTCTGCCTGTGCCCATTCATGTATAGTACACGTTCCACAGTTGCATAAACGGTGGGCAATGAAACGTCTGTGGCAAAACAATACCTTCGATGTTGCATGCTACCTTCTTAAAATGCCAGCAGCCAAGCATACCAGCTGGTAAGGTCTCTATCTATTATAATGAAGTGTTATGTCTTGCAAACGTACCCTTCTGCTGGTCACGCACATGTTAAATGAGTGAGCAGGTGGAGGGCGTACAACCATTCTAATCCTGTCAAAGTCTTATAGGATGGGTTTTTATAGCCACCGCAACTTGAGACGGTGGATGCTACATTTTAATTCTGGACTTCACATTATTATGGACAACAAGCACACGAGTGAGGGTAGACATATCAGAATGTGAGACTTTTTTTATCGCTGAAAACGGGCTGTTTTGAGTGTTGAGTTGTGGTATCGTGTTCAGAGGTCTCAACAAGCTCCCTGCCAAGGAATCCTGCAGACAGAGCTGAGTGAGGAGAGTGGAGTAACTGTCACAGCTGGAAGCACAGCAGCACAATGATGAAAGCATTCCTGTAGAGCGACCTAGTGGTAAGCCTATCCCTGAGAGCATGCACCACACTGCTGTTACTGTGTACGCAGATAATGTCCAGCTAAATCAAAAGTTGTCCTTATAATATTGATGCATGCCTTGGGAAAATCATGGGTCTTTACTGCACACACACAAGCACTAACATGCACTCTTCTGTGGCAACAGCTTCTGCTCAGTGTTGTGTAACTTTTCTTTCTTTCTGTTTAAGTATTTGAAACGATAAAGGATCCAGATTTATATCAAATCTCCTTGTAATAATGCTTTGTAAACCAGAAGTGCTGTAGTGAATGTCTAATCCGAAGTGTGTATTATTAATAAAATATTTTTTAAACAAGACACGCTGGTTTTCAGATCAATCTTTGAGACAATTATTTGTTTTGCGGCCCATGCTACCATTTAAGTCAATAAATAAAGAACCATAGCCACACTAAAGCATATATATGTATATACATCGTCAAGTCCTCTTGTCAGACAGGAATAAAAGGAGTTTAGGAGTAATAGCTGTGGAATGATAATATCACTGAGACATGGTGATAAATTTAGTTTGATTAAAGCGTACTGTTCTTTATTTGCTGCTTTTCAAGTCGTATTAAAAAAAGATCAGTGAAAAAAATCTAAAACAATCTATAGCTAAATAGATTCATGTAACAAAATCTCATCGTTATTTGTGGATGGCAGTTCTGAGTCCAAAGAAAAATATAGCTCTTTGTTTTTTTTCATTCAGAGTCCGATGTGGATTGGTGGGCTCCATCCTCCGGTTCAGCCACTAACAGATCAGGGAAAACTTGAGTTAGTTTCTCATCAGAAAAACATGCTGCACAACCTGAGATTAAAAGCTGCATCTGCTTTAATGATTAATGACCCTAACGCCCACCTTGTCTCAGGTTTAACCTGACACTTACTTTCAGAACCAGGGAATTTCAGAGATGCCATTTTGGACACAAAATCCTCTTCCTCTTCATACTTGAAATCCAGTCCAGCATAACCCTTCATCTCCTCACAGTAGTTGATGAATCTGCAAAGAAAACAAACATGAAAACAGCCAAAGTAATGTTTAGTTTTCCATCACATTTTAACTTCAGAGATCAAATGGAAGAAGATATTTTGTAGCCCTCTGTGAAACTATTCCAACAGGTCAGCTGATGTGCCAAAAATTAGGGTCAGTGTCCAGGTGCTCATAACTTGTTTAAGGCACAATAAACAAGACACTGAGCTTACACCCTGTGAAAGATGCCCTCTTCAAAATGTTTCATCGCTTACAAGAATCTGAAGGCAATCAACAAAAAGGCCGATTTGCCTTTCAGATGAGGATAGCTTTAATGTCCAAAGGATTTTTAGATTTTGTGTTGAGTGATGTACTTTCATGTTTCTGTTGTGTTCGTTGGAAGTAAATATGTCTCCCTCATGGCCTCATTCCCAGTGGCTTAAAGCTTTAACTCGTCCATTTGGAAAGTTTCTAATACCCCGAAATGAAATTAAGACACTGACTAAAACACCCTCAATGTTTCCCAAGCCTTCACTCAAACTCAACGTGGTGGAGAATCCTGCAGCAGATGGCACAGATGAGGAACATAAGGGTCGAGGTTTCTTGCAAGAACGTGTCTGTGCCGGGGAAGTTTATAACAAAAAAAAAAAACATAGCAGTCTCGTACGGGGCCAGTTGAAAATGTGGCTTTTCTACTTCTTTAAGCTTGTTGAACAGATTGTCTTCTCCCTTCAGGGTTTAATTTCCATCACAGTACCAACACGCTACTATCAGACACCGTGGGTGTTGTGGGTCAAAAACTTCTCAAGAAAGGAAAAAGTCTGCGTTGTTGATAAAACTGAATTCTCATGAAGTCAGGTCACACTTTCAGTTTACTTAGTGCGCTCTTTGACCAAACATCTGTGGGCTGCTGTACTTACTTCTTCCAGATTGGGTCTGTTTTGAGAATCACAGGGTTTCCGATGACAATCAGCAGGGACTTGGCTCTTGTCAGGGCCACATTGAACCTCTACAAACACATACATGAAAAGATGTGAGGGATACAATTCATTTAAGACAAATCTGAGTCTATTCCATTTAGATGCAGTCATTGTTTTAAAAACCTTTTTATTTGATAGGAATCCAATATTGTATTGGGTGTCCATCTTAATGTAGCTGGAGGTGCTGCGGACGGTGGAGACCATGATGATCCTCTTCTCTTGTCCCTGAAATTCCTCCACAGATCCCACCTAATTTCACATCGACAAAACATCAAGAGGGGGGGATGAACTCCCACAACCAAACTCAGATCCCCAATCCTCAAGAATAAGTTAAAAACTCCAATAGGAGAACCTTGAGTTCTCTGAGATCACACCATCGACTCAGATCTGGGACAGACTTCAGGGCCTTCTGGATTTTCTCAACCTGTTGAAAAAGCATCAAGACTGCTGCCATGTGGTTTTCGATACTTATTGCAACCATTTTCTCTCTGCCTTTAAAGCATAAATGAGCATCGTGAAGCCTCACCTGTTTCCTGTATGGGGTGATAATGCCAATATCTTTAGGGAGGAGCTTAGGTAGACCCTTCTTTCCCTGTGTGTCCGCCAGCTTGGCGAGGTAACCCACCAGGACTTCAATCTCAGACACATTAAAGAAGGATGGACTGTTGGCCTCTCTCTCATCTTTCCCCATCACTCCATGGAAGATCACAGGGAAGCCCTGTTTTAGTGGACAAGAAGCAGCGGTCAGCTGATGGTCTGGCCTGAGATTGGGGTTAGGTAGTTGCCATGACAATATATCATGTCAGTGTGCATAGCACGGCATTAATGTAGTTGGACAAAAAAAGCATAGGCAAAAAGATAAATCTGACATAAAGCCAGCAAGGATTTGTCCTTTTGGTTCAGTGAACAACTTGAAGACGAGTTTTTGCTGATTTAATAGAAAAAATATATCTCATAGTTTTGCTTTTTTTTTCCCTCTATAATGTAACTTCCTGTGGCTGATGTCAGTTTGTGTGCTTAGTTAGCTGGGCTTATGCCTCTCAGGAAACACAACACATAACTTAAGTGGAAGCTGAGATGTCCTTTTTTTTTAAAGCAATGAAAGAAATTTCTTCATTCCACATAAAAAATAATTGTAGCTCTCTCAGGCTGTAACCATTACATGTGAACAGTAAACATCCACTCAGCTGCACCTCTTGGGGAAGGCCTTTCCAGTTGCAGTAGGCCTCACTCTCTATCTTGTCAGCAAAAACCTGCAGTTGACCCTGATAAAACAACTCATTGGGGATTTTCAGAATGGCACCGTGAGACCTGCGAGCACACAAAAGGGGGCAACATTTGTAGAAGTTAGTAAAAAAAACAAAAGTCGAAACAATTAACCCCATTAACATAATGGAGGTTGGAGAAGAGTCTCACCTGTAGTTTCTCAGGAGTTTGGTGACAAAACGGGTGTCAAAGTTTCGATATAACTCGTGTTTCATCAGCCTCTCCAACAGAGAGAGGTCTTGGGGGAGTTAACATTATATTATTAGATCATTTTATTCGTCTGAGACACTAGCAGAAACAGAAAAAGCTGATAAAACTGCAAATATAAAGTACAGTTACTAATGCTACTGGACACACTATGTCCAGGTAAATAAAATGAAAATAACTGCCCTTCTCTCACCAAGTCCGTAGTCAATCGCAAGACGAGATCGAAGGATTGGTCCCAACTGCTCCGGATCTCCTGCCAGCACCAGCTGACCCTTCCCTGCCCTGAGAAGGCCTGTGGAACAAACAAACCAATCAGCAACATGATGCATCAGTTTGACCTTTAATCGCAAGACCAACATTGACTGAGTCAGCGTAATGTTTATGTTAGGAAGCTGCACAATACTTTTTTTCTTTGTTTTATGTCTGTTCAAAACTTAAATCAAATTTAATTAAACTTACGACTTCTTAGTAAAGTTCTGCTCTAAACAACTGGAATCCTGTTTTTTTAGCATTAACAAACATCTGACATATTGATTTCAATTAAAGTTAAATAAAATTAGGGAAAATATATTTTGTTTCCCATCCTTCAAAATGTTATCAGTATAAACTGTTTTTCGTGACAAAGAAAACTTTTATTTCCAAATTCCTCTGAAAATCACCTCAAAGAGAGTTTGCGCAATTTTCAACTTGGCTGTGGATCCTGATACTAATAAAAAAGCTCGCTGAACTTAAAACGACTCTTTATGAGGGTTAAATATTCAAAATGGACTTTTGTTTAAGTAGCAACAAACCCGAAGACGGTTTAAACGAAATATTCAGAACTGACCTGCAAAGGCAATCACACATTCTGGTTCTGCAGCTTGGCCTGCTTCATCCACAAATATATGTGAGAAATGACCGACCGGGAACCCTCCAGTCACCAGTCTAAAGAAAAGAAACGCACAGTTTAGAACAGGCTGTGTAGAGATGGTGATGAAAATAGTGCGTGCCCCTCACCTGCCGGCTGTAAACAGAGTTGTGACAATAACATTGTACTTCATCAGAATTTCTTTCTCTGGAAACACAAAGCAGCCCTGTCTGTCGTCCCAGTTTGTGTATTTCTGAAAGACATGAGAAATGACAGCTTTCCATCATCTGGCTGTTTGCAAAATCTGTTAGCTGTATCACAGCTCTTCGTCTTTGGACCGCTATAGTCATTCGTATTTCAGAAAACATACAGCGGTATTACAGCAAAACATTTCATGGCATGCCAAAAGAATAAGGTTAGCTTGATAAGTGCTTAGATCAACATATAAAGGCCACGACTTGTTTAGATCAAACCAGGAAGTTTATCAGAATTGTAACCATGAGGAATTTGGTGAAGACTACTACTTCTTTGACTTGTTGAGACTAAAAATGATCTCTGCTCTCACCCCTGAAAGATGAGGATTCAAATACATCATGAGTGAAAAATACAGACACGGCCACAAATTCCCAGAGGAGACGTGTCCAGACCTTCGGCTCTAAACGGTGGTGCTCACCAGCAGTTTGTTGGGGATGGTGCTCGGCTCTCGGCTGCTGGCGTTCATGCGGTACAGCTGATTAGAACTCATGCGCATCATCAGTCTCTCGCAGAGCAAGTCGCACGCACTGTTTGAGGGCGCGCAGGCCAGGATGCGGGCTGACGGAGTCGCCCTGTTGATCTGACAGCACCAGGAAATAAGACATTCAGGCCTTAACAGGTAAAAACTTCATGACCATGTGCAGAAATCGAAACTCCTTTTGGTTAAATACATTCTGAACCAGTCCAGCCCTTCATGTTTGACATCCCTGTGCACCACCGGCTTTTTCTAAAGATGAATTCTGCCTGCTAATAATCTCATTTTAAGATGAATATTCTTGTGTAAGACAAACGCTGAAAACCCTGAATATTAAGCACATGATCGTAAGAAGCACTTGTTTGGTCATCACCAAAAAAGCATTTTACTACTTTCATCAGTCCACACACAATAGTTTACAGAAGCTCAGTTTTTTTTGTAAAAGCCCTATAATACCTGATTAATGGCTTCAACCAGAGTGATTGTCTTTCCGGTTCCGGGAGGCCCGAACACAATAAAAGGAGCGGGCTTTGATGACCCGGCCACAATGCGGCACACAGCTTCACATTGCTCCGGGTTGTCTTCCAGCTGACGGTTGAACATGCTAGAGGATAAAAGAGGAATGGTCTTTAATACTTTACACTCTGATGAAACACTTAAAAAAAACAAGAAATCTGATGCCAGAACACAGTTTAATGAGGCAAACTGTGGTCCGGGAACGGAGAAAACTAGGTTGAAGCTTGTGACAAAAGGAAAAGCATATCTCAACATATTCTACTTCAAACATGATAAATATCGTAAACCAGTGTGAAGTAATTGGATTGTTTGAACACTCAGGACCTGCGACAGTAGTTATTAAAGGAATATTTACTTTGATTTCTAATTTGGGTGTTTTTAAAGGTCACAGATAGTCAACTAGCCAGTTAAAATGTAATTCTGATTAACATGAGATAAACTATATAAACTGTGCATGCTCCAAAATTCCACCTTTATGTAAAAAGAGTGAAGCATAGGTGAATTATTGCGGGCAGGTTTCGATGCAGTTTTTTTTTTTCCATTTGAGGGTTAAACTGAAAAACAGGCCTTTTCACACTGTCATGCTGGTATTGGTGCACCTTTGTTGCTCGTTGGTTTTGTGTGTGAAAGTAAAGAGGCAGAGGGGGGAGGGAAGTTGAATTGCGGCAAGCTCACATCGCCGGACGTCCCTGCTGATCGGACGATGCCAGCATTATCTGCGTCCTCATCAAAACCTTGATTTTATTCAATCAAATTGTCCATTCAAGTCCATGCTGTGAATTCAGCTCTATGTACGTGTGCATGAATTCCTATGGAGCTATGGACATAATCAACAAAGAGGTTCCCCTCATATGCGTGTATACTAGAAAAAGGACAGTGGTCCGTTGAAACGGTCAGATTAAACTACAACCATACTTTCGTAGGACCCCCCCCCTAAAAGAAACATCCCTTTAATAGTGGTCTCCGGTTCAAACGTCGTTATACAACGCATATAAAAAATACGGCACGTGGTGGTTTCCGTCTCTGGTTTTGTACCTGACACAAACCTGAGTTTGGGCAAGGACACGTGGGGCGTGAGTGATCCCGACGGGAACAGCACCTCCTCCAGCTCATGCTGCACGGCCAGCTCCACCGCGCGGTGCTGCAGCTTCAGGGTCAGCCGGTTGATCGTGAACTCCACGTCGAACTTCATGTTGCTGATGAAAGCCTCCAACAACCTCAAATGAGTGGACAGCGGGAGTGAGTGTGAGTGGGTCTGTGAGCGATCCCAGCTCGGCACAGGTCACGCATACTTATCCCCACTCTTACTTCTTAGAGAAGCCCAGCTTGACTCTGTCCAGCTCTACTTTGTGCACGTAGCCGGTGTACACTGTGAGCGGGAAGCTTTTATCCTCGGATTTGGTCACCCGCAGACAATCTCCCCGCAGTACAGAGGGACGATTTTCAGCAACACCGGGCACCTGTTGAAAACAGGAAGACAACGGTCCCTCGTGGTCTTTTGGCCGTATTTTCTATTCCTTTTAAATGAAATCACAACCAATGCTGGTGTGCTATGAAACACCTTTTTTTGAGGACTTTTTCGGTGTTGGAGCTGAAAAATATATCAGCTCTTCTGCTGCTCAACAGCATCCTAGCTTCCTAACATAGCATCTGAAATTTGAATGAAACTGCCTTAAACTCCTTCTTTTTTCCTTTAAAAGCCCTCGAAAATCATCATTTCACCCGATTAGTTGCCAGATAATTATGACATGTAATGTCTTTTGCTTCAGCGCAAAACATTTGACGTGAGGAAAGTAAGCAGTTTTCTAACTTTGAGTGTGAGTAGATCTCTTCTGTCCTTGTCCTTAGCCAGGGTTTGACTGCGGAGGTCGTACTTCCTGATGTCTACTTCCATCTGTATCTCTTCTAAGTGCAGCAGAATGTGGAACCGGCGAGCGTAGTTCCTCATGCTTAAGGACGAGTTGAGGACAGTCCTGGACATGCAGCACAGACAGATAGAGATTAACATCACCAACACCCAACTGACGGAATGAAACGGTCATCGTATTAAGTTAGGCCGATCGCTCACTTCACTTCTTCGAGCTTCTTTCTGGCCATTGGGGAGAGGTCGTCGTGGTTCTCCAGCCCGTGTTTGGCCAGTTCCTTCAGGTAGTTGGGGTACTTGTATTCACCTAGTTTCACAACGGTTGTCATATCCTGCACAGTAGAGCTAAGGAGAATACAAGACACTGTATCACTCTAATAATTGTAAATACAAGACAGTGTCAAAAGCCGGCATGTTTTTTTTTCTTTAACCTCAAGCTCAAGAGACAAAACTCCTACTATCCCGCTCTCTCCATTCAGAAAACACAGCAGGGCACTGGCTCATTCTAAAACTGGATTTTCACACTAAGTCTTCAAGCGTTTTGCAAATCACCTCTCTAACAACGTACCCTCCGGGCGGCTCTCCGTCCACCACCACGCTGACATCAGGCCTGTATGTAGCCACTCTGACCGGTTCATATGGAGCTACGGGCCTCAGCCCCACAGCCAGAGGGGTCTGCACCGAAGCTTCAATCTCTCTGATGATGATGAAGCTCTCCGGCTCCTGCAGGTCGGCGATGAACTGAAAGTACATCGTGACGGGGAAGTACCCGTTGTGGCTCAGCGTGAAGTGAACCGCCACGTCATAGCTCTCTCCTGTGGGGGTGAAGGAAGAAAAAGCGGGTCGTCAGTTGAGCGGATTTGAGGTCCGTAAAAAAACGGGCCCACGCCGAGGGTTTGTGTCTCACCGGGACAGAGGAAGAGCGGGCAGGCTTTGGACACTCTCCTTTCATCCACCAGGGTGAAGCAGCGAAATCTGCTGAGGGCTTTGTAGTCAATGAAGTTGACGTTGTTGGGGCCCTTGTTGGCGATGTGTAAAGTGACAACGAACGGCTCCCTTTGAGGACACGCGGTGAACTGAATCTTCTCGCTGCTCGCCACTGGGTCCGAGGTGATTTCTATGCCCTGCTTATCGACGATAATCTCTTTCCTGTGAGAGATGGACACCATCAGGCAGGATATCATGAACTTTAAAACACCTCTAATCTTACCTGAGTAAGTCATTTTTACTCACTGTGCAAATCTTAATGATGACTAACTACTAAAAGGGCCCGAATCCCTTTTTGACTGAGGGATGGCTATTGGTTTATACTTAGAACGCCTCATATCAAAAACACCTGTCCCTGGCATCTTATAAAATAATCACTTTGCTTCATATTCTATGTGAACGACACACTATCACCAGTTTTCAACACAGCATGTTGAAAGCACCACGACCTCTAAGTCATGATGACTCAGACATAACAACGTCGGAAAAGAAACGTGTGAAAAAGGACAGTTGCTGTACTTAGGAGTTTATATTTAGGGGTCTGTATTTCCTGATTGTGTGACACTGATGTTACATAACCCTCAGACTTTTTTCTTTATTAAACTACAGCAGAATAAATAATTCCCAAAACCTGGACGTTTCCAGGAGGAAGGTGTTTTTGTCAGCTGCTTCCTCGACTCCATCTGTTCAAACTGAAGAAAACAGAGCAAAACCTTTCAGCCTTGTAATGGGCCCTGGTATGGAGGCAGTGCTTTTACGTCAACCGGGGTTCTTTAGGGAGGGACTTGCGGTGATGACCATGTCGATTGGTCAGGGTCTCAGCATTGAAATTCAGTCTTTCTGTCTCAGCTAAGCAGCTTTAAAAATGCACAGCAGCGTAAAATCTGTAAAGTCAGCAGGAACTCAGGCATTGTTTTTGAGAGCCGGATTAGTTAAGAGGGCTCAGATTGTGACAAGAAAGATCTTAAATCAGAGGAAGAAAGAAAGATGTCTCCAGCAGGGCTGATGTTTGGATTTAGAATCATAAATGTAAATATCTAATTTTTCACAACTGTCGTGTTTCAAAACTAAATAAATCCACCAAATCCCCCAGAGGAATGTCCAACGTGTAAATATTTTGTTTTGACTCTGTGTCAGCGTGGCCGTGAGCAATAGCTTTCAGCAGCCTAAAGTTGCCTGAACCTTTGTGAACTTTGACCCTGAATCTGATACTGGGGAATACCAACACAGACAGCCACCTCTGAAAGAAGCGTTTTGTTTTTCTGCTTTCTTTTCTCCCGTTGGATAAGAGGCAGCTAATCAAACGACTCGCTTCCCTTTTTTTCAAACTGTATTATTTGCATCTGCTGTCTTCCATTTCACAGATCTTTCCGCCACCAAGCAGTCGTTTCTAATCAGATGTTCATCTCATAACTGACTCATAGGAAAGTCAGATACTTTTGATACGCAACCGGCTTGGCTGCGTTAGATACTCATTTTAAGAAACAACACTTCTGACAACTGCTGATTGGAACTAATTAAAATGCTAGTGAGTGTGTGGTTATCTGCAAAGGAGCGTGTTTTGCTCGATACGTTACAACCACACATTTAACCTCCTGAGACCCGAGCTTTTATTTGGCATGCATTTTAGCTTTTTTTTAAAAGATATATGAGATACATATTTAATTAAATGTTTTTACAATTTTGTTCTGACAGTCCCATTGACTTATTTACATTTGTTCTATTACACAATAAGAACATGATTGGATGGAAATGTATAAAACCATTTTACTTTAGATTTCAAACAGTGTCTGATAGCATCTGCTATGAGGCCAAGAGGTCAAAGCTGGGAGAAAAAAAGAAGTATCATGGTAAAGAGAGACAAAAATGCAACGTCCTCTTATGAGGACACAGGGTCTCAGGAGGTTAATTATCTTGGGTTGTTTTTTAGAAGTAAAGACCTCAATATTTTCATATTAAATGTTAATACAATGTATTATATGAGTTTTGTGACTCAACTGGTTTGAGATGAATTCATAGCTTTTAATGTAAGGTGGATGGATGGATGGATATTCATAACAGTAAATTTAATTTAATTGTAAGTTCATCCAGTTCCCTCCCAAACTCTGTCCTTCACTTTATCTACAACAAAATAAAGATAATTTGATAAACTATGGCTTCTATCCAGATATTATTTGCAAATTCCCTGAAGAATGATTCTTAGTTCGATTATAACCATTTTTCTGTCCACATTCTCTCCCAGCTGCTCTCCTCATCATCTCTACTTATGTGCTGACATAAATATAAGAAATAATATAAGATATAAGAAAAGCAAAAGAAAGAAATGATAAGATGAAATCCCTGTCTCTCTATTACTTTTACAGTCTCAGTCTTGAGCACTGCCTGCTGTGTTGGATGGTTCGTAGTGAAGCGCTGAAACTTCCTGTTCATATCAGAGGGATGCCACACACATCCTCCCCCTCGCTGTGCTGCCCTCCCTTCACTATTACCAGTGTAACAGAGAGGTCAATGTAACAATATCTCATTTGCTCTCAGAGCCGTATGATTGCCCGGCTTTTCGTTTGAAATTTACTGTGGACACTTTTGGCCGGGGAACCTTTGCCAATGCTTTTATAACCCCTTTACAAGTCAATTAAACCCATATACTAACTCGTGGTAAAAAAAACAACACATTGTACAGAAATCTGACTGAAGAATGTGGGTCCAGATGTTACTGAAGGGCCGACAAAGCTGAGACTCAACGCGACCTTGGAATTTATCTTCTCTCTGAAAGAATGTGTCCAAGATACCTCCTGAAACATAAACAACTCAACTGGTGGGAAAACTGTGAACAGGAGACTGCCTCTAAATGTCCATAAAGTTTTACGTAGATGAAACAGCCAAATTCTCCATGAAGACATTCTGATCAACCATTTTTTCCTGTTTCTTTAGTCAGATAAATGCACCTCAGTTGATAACAGGATTTATAACGGGGCAAGGATGGTGGTCTGAATAAAACTGATAAAAAAGACCAGTGAATCACTCTGCCATAAAAAAAAAGGCGCCAATCTCAAGCAGAGTTTGTCGTGGATGTCTTCACGACGACGTGGTGAATTTGGGCCAAGTCTTTCAAAAAGTTCTAACTTCTTGGAAATGCAGTTGAAAAATATTCAACAGTGGTCAAAAAGAAGCAGAGGCAGCTGGGTCTCGGTCCAGTATGGTTTATTGTATCAATACAAGTTCACCACACATGAGATGTTAACCAGGCTAACATCTGCCCTATTGAGAACGTGGTCTGCTTTTATACAGCCGGTGGAAATTCACCTAGAGTTCGTATTTTTTAAATGGGCGTCTCGGCCCCTCTTTCCTGTTTACACGTCATTGCCCATTCCGGCCATTGCCATGGTTTCTAAGGTGATACACGCCCCATACCACTCCTTCTTTAGTAACTACCTATGGTTTCTAGGGTGATACAAATTTGTTTGCATTGAGCCTTAGATATGGTCCATGCTTACACATCTGTTTCTTTGCCATACAGGCAGTATAGTATAGTAGAGTTTGACCACTGGACCAAGGTTTTTCCCACTGCCACACATTATTTTCTTATACAATTCTTTTTCTAGATATATGTTAAAGCACACTATTAATCATTGTGATGAGAATACATTCATTGTGAGATATTAATCCACTACAAGTTGAGCCGAAATATATCACAACTCAGCGAACAGCCCGGTCGGCCTATGTTTGAACATTACGCCATTGTACTCGCATGCTATCTTCCTGGAAATAACACACGCTCTTGTTTATATGCAGCTACGTCAAATCATATTTATCTGCTTACTGTGGAAGTTAGGTCCTCTCTGACTTAGATAAATAAACGTGATCCTATTATAAATAAGGGTTTGACTGTGAGGCTGCAATGAGTATTACCTTTATGCAAAAGTAAATCAAACATCTTCCAGCAACTTACTTGAATCAGACTCAAACGTACCTGTTCAACTTCATCTTTCTGAGGGTGTTTTTGGCCATGGTCTTCTTCGGACACTGCGTAGGCGCCTGGTTGTTGGTGGAAGGGGAGCATCTCCCTGCTGTATCCTGATCTATTGGGATGGAACTTTGTCTCCGGGAGGCCCGGGGCCATCTCCACTGATCAGAGAATGTCCGCACCTACCCAAAAATAGGAGGGAGGGGGGGAGAAATTAATTGTTATTTTGGTTCTTTTTTGTCAAGTAAAAACTTTATGGTGTAAAAACGTACATGTTTGAACAGCATGAGGCACTGAGTGCAAACAACAGGACACTTTAGATCCTACCTGAAGTCTATCATTGATGTAGACTTTTCCTCTTATTATGTAGACTTTGTTGAATTTCCGCAGAGCATACAGAACGCTGGAAAAATTGGGGTGTTTCTTCCCCTCGCTGTGAATGTGGACATGAGAATGCGCATCACAAACCGGGCATGTCCAAAATGAATGGGGACAGACACTTCTGGGAAACCAACCTGTTCTTAAACTCCTCGTAGTAGATGCTTCGGAGCTCGCTCTTGCTGTTGCTGTGTGTTATTCTATTTCCGAGATAATCGATGAACTCCAGTCCGGATTCTAGCGCGTGGAATATATTCGGCATTTCGACTTGTTCCCCAGGTCTGAGCTACCGACCGTCGATCATCCGGTTGAGAATGAGGAAGCCGACGGTCCGCTGGCCGCTTTTCACTGACACTTTCCAAAGTGTGTAACTGCGGCTGCTTGCCGTTACCCTGAGCCTACATTGCTCTTAAACGGTGCCGTTTGCTAAGGCTTCGGCACACGATGTGCATCCACCTGACATGCTTTTCCTCACACAAAATACGAACCAAAAATGTATATATAAAAACTCCTTTTTGACGGTTTCGGCGCAAAACTCGTGCGTGAGGAAGCTCTCCAACGGTCCCCTGTCAGGGAGCGTATGCAAATGATTGACGAAACGAAAGCGAAAAACCTCTAAAAACCCCCAAAGATTTTCGTGAAAAAATAAAAATATCCCAACTAAATCCATAATGGTCTCGTGATTTCACAAATAGAAGAAAGTATGGCTTATCTTCTGTCTCAGTTAACGAGTGTCCCACTGCGGACAGGTTTCTATTGACACCCCCTTCCTTTACTTATTACATAATTATAACTCGACTAAATACACGTGCGTTGCGTTTCAAATATGTGTTTTATTTAAGTTTTACGGCACTTTACGTTATTTTTCTGTCCAAGGCATTTATGTGGGATATCCCCTATTCCGTGTTGGCTATACAGTCATTTTTCGTTCTAATAATCATAATAATTGTTCATATTAATGGGAGTATGTTATACTTTACAAACCCGAATATGTTTTTTTTTTAAATGATATACAAGAACAAAATGCTACTGTAGTGTCTGAAGCTCGAAGTTAAGCACAGACTGTTCTGTTCGTAGAGCATAAACATTTTGGAAAAGACATTCCTAAAGTAGAGTGTAGGGGGAGTGTTTATGATATGGATAAAATATATTCTAGCTGCACGCCTGGATGGAAACAGTCTGGTGTAAGACAAAAAGTAAAGATACGGGATGGCCAAATATGAGGGCAGGGGCACCCAGAGTTAGGCAGTTTTTCTCTGAATTAGGGCCATGAGGCCTCTCCAGACTTGATGCATAAACTTGAGGCAAAATCCTATTTGGCCGACCAAGTCTGCCTCAGCAGTTTTTCCTGCAGCACTTTAACTTGAGCTATTTGAAGACGATCATCCCATAATTTACCATAATATACAAGAACAAAAAGCTACTCTTCCTATATTTATTCAATCTTTCTTTACTTCGATTTGTATTTCTAATCGACAAACAACCTACAGGTGAAACTGATATGAAACCAGGTCTTCTTTTTTTTCAAACTTTTGCTTAATTACGAACTTCAATGATTTTTCAATTTGGCTATGTATTTTGTTAATTTATTGTTAGAATAATGTTACATAAGTTATCATGCATTCTCTGAATTACGTATGTGAGTGTGTATGTATTTGGGTTAACTGTGTTTGTGTGTTAGCAAGAAGGGTATGTCATAAGCACAAGCTGTTTTGCAAATAATGGTGTCTGCTGACCACAGTAGTGATCCTTGAGACAACACTCCATGTTGGCAGCTGAAACTGAGGAACAACTGGACTTCGTGCCTCCTGTTACATCAGGTGTCTTCCTCTTCAATCAGCTGCATCCTGTGATTAAGACCAATGTGCAATCAAACATGTGTGCTCCTACTGTCTTTGGAGAAGATGAAGTCACAAATCTGTGATAGGGTGGAAGTGTTTAGGGGCATAACCCTGACATTTATCCAATTTCAACACCCGAAATGGGAAATTTTGGGATAATTTGTAAAACACATTCATTCAAGCACTTAAGTTTATCGTAAACATTTAGCACAAAAAGGGGTCTTAATAAATAAAAATGTTAAAAAAAAGAAAAAGCTAATGTCTTGAGTGTACACAGATGTAGGACTGTGTAAGGAGGCATCATTTTTGTGAAAGCACATACCCCTTAGAGCCACATGGTTAAGGGTTACCAAATATGGCTGCTTCAATACCTGTACAAAGAGAATGTGTGAAGTTAAACAGCAAGAGCCATATGATGGGGGATAAGGAAACCAAACATGGAAAGGATATAAACCCTATATCCCTTTAATTAGGGCTGTTTGTAATTAGGGGGGATTTTTACCCTCCACATTTGATGAATCGATCGGTAATTTTGCCACGGGCCTGGATGAAAAATAAAATCCTTGTTTTTTTCCAGCAGTCAGTGTAAGCAGTCTTTTTCTGGGGCATCCTCACACCTGCGGTTTGAACGGGACTATGTTACACAACAGGTGTTAACATTTATAATGAAGACATGATGGCACACAGAGGATCGACATCTTCCCATTTGGTGCAATAATTTTATTTCATGAATAATAAATGTACTTACAGTTTGTATAAAAAAATATAGCACAGGCTAAAGGCAAAGAGCTGTTAAGAGGACACCGATGGTCAATCAATTCAGGGGACAGAGATAGCTAATCCTCAACAGGGAAGACAAAAAATGGAAGAAAATAAAAAGATACTTATGTTAATGCAAACCTTGCAGCCGAAATGCATTTTAAAAAGAAATGTGGGAATCTTTCCACTGAAAGTCAATTTAACTCTCCTGTCAGATAACAACTCAAAACTGCATTTAGTCCTTCCCTTCTCAGAACAAAAGAAAGAAAAAGAATAGAGGCATTGGAAGCTCTCAGAAAGTAATAGCTATATTCTATAGGAGATGTAAATTAGTCGCTATTCGAGAACTGGGGAGCAGCTTCAGCAAGATGTGTCGCTGTGTCAAACACTGAGGGATCAGACACATGCACCAATTACGTGAGAATTTGGATGGCAGGGACCAGTCTAAGTTTCACAGTGTCACCAAAGGCAATATTTGTTAAAAAATAAAAATATATGTTTAGAAATGAGCAACAGTAACACCACTTTGTCATTTTTCAGAATGAAGGCATCCCCTCTTAGTCTCCGACAGATACTGAAACTCTCTTGAAAGACATACAGTACGTTATTGTTGTGTCAGCTTCTCCCCAACCAGTTGTTTGTAACCCCCCCCAAAGGCTGCCGCCCTCTAGGCGTTCTGCATCTCCTTGCCGATCTTGTAGCTGAGGATCTTGTTCCAGTCAATCTTGGTGCGGGTGACTGGGAGCTGTCTACGTAAGGCTTTGAATGTGGTGTCTGACATGGTCTGATAGTTCTCAGTGATGGCCACCTGAAATACAAAGAGAGCTTTCATTTCTACCAAAAAGAAAATCTGAAATTTTTTATCAGAAATTATTTTCCTGTGCTTTAAAATATTGGCAAAAAGCAATGTGATTAACTGAAACAATCCTAAATAGAAACAGTATAAACAAGGCAACAGACCTAATATATCTCTAAAGCAATTAAAGCTCTTTTTTTGGGACGTGGGCAGAATTTAATTCCCTTCTCTGTCAAAATAACCCCACACTGCTCCTCACAGGCCAGGGTTCAGTCTCTGGGGAGGATTCACCCCCCCATGTGGAAAAGGTTTCGCCTTTCATCCGTTTGGTGCTCTGCCTTTCAGGTTTCCTAACTTTTAAAGGACACACCACAAACGGGGCAAAGAAATGCCACCGCCTCAGATAAAAGCCTTCATGGAACCGTCTTGTTAGTGCAACAAGACAATAGTGTTATATTGGTGTTATCTAGTTGTTATTGTACATTATCATCAATTATCATTCACTTTGTGCTTTTCGGACAACAAATAAGTCAAATCTCAGTTTTTCTTTTAAGTCGGCTTCTTTAGGACTGAAAAGTGAATTTGCTTAACATGACAAAAAAAAAATTAACTACAAGATTAAACCTTTTTGTGTCATCCTATGTGGATTGTAGTGGATTAATATCTCACAATGAATGTATTCTCATCACAATGATTAATAGTGTGCCTTAACATATATCGAGGAAAAATGAATTGTATAAGAAAATAATGTGTGGTAGTGGAAAAAACCATGGTCCAGAGGTCAAGCAATAATGAGTTTCATAGACATGTACCATGTGGGGGTAACCTAAGGGTCAATGCACACAAACGTGTATCACCTTAGAAACCATGGGTAGGTACTAGAGAATGACGGGAATGGGTAATGACGTGGAATGGGCAATGACGTGTAAACAGGAAGGAGGGGCCGAGACGCAGCTGCCTCTGCTTCTTTTTGACCACTGTTGAAGATTTTTCAACTGCATTTCCAAGAACTTAGAATTTTTTAAAAGTCTTAGCCCAAATTCACTACGTCGTCGGGAGGACATCCACGACAGGATGATGGATGTTAAAGAGTCCCAAAAAGAACTGTGAACAAGGCTTTGATGCCAATATTGAAATAAAAGAAACCCCATGTGAGAAAAAAACATATCTAGAAATGGCTTCAAACTAAATGCAAACAGAAAAAACATGTTTTTTCTGGCCACAGCATCAGTTTTGTAGGTATTCTCACTGCATGTGCGAGCACACAGAGGAGGCTATAGATCGTCTGCTGCTTTTAGATTTATTCTTCAATGGAAGCCATTCCCTTCCTACCTGGTATTCATTTTCGGCTTCCTCGATGATTTTCACCAACTCCTTTGCAGTTTGGCTCTCATTCTGAAGAAAAACAAAACATTTTTTAGCTAAACTGAAAACAAAGGACCCTGAAGAGAAGAAGCATCACTAAGAAGAAAAGAATTACTTACGGAAACAGTCAGGGATTCCTGTATATCTTTATGGCTGACCAGCTGCACATTTCCATCCTCATAATAATGTACCTATGTGGGGATAAACAAAAAAAGAACAAAAAATGTTCGGCCCAACACAATAACGAAGCAGGATTAACTTTATAATCTTATAATAAAGCCACTGATCAGTCACCACACCTGTACTTTTAAGACTCCAACCAGCTGGGCTGTGGACTGCGAGACACTGAACTTCCACTCAGACCTGTAGCGGCCATTCCTGGAAACAGAAAATATGGAAGAAAGCGCTTAAAAGCCGTCCCTAAACACATCGCAGACTCCACACAGCACAACCGCAATATTCCAGGTGAATTTGATTAAAATGTTTAAAGAGACACAATTTTCCATCAACCACTATCAACTTACCAGAAGTTTTTGGGCTCAAATTGATGGCCCTCGATGCACGCGATAATAGTCTGCTGGCCATCGATCGTCTTCCCGTAAACCTGAAATAGAGACGGCAGAGTGAGTTACGACATGCAACGCGGACCACCGGACGGCCTGGGAGGTGCTGGCTGGCAGGGGGAGCTCACGGTGCACACTCCACTGGGGTAGTGCTCCTTGACGTAGGCCCTGAGAGCAGAGTCGCAGGCGTCTCGCCAGGACCTGAGCGCTGCCTCGCTCTCGTGGGGCTGAGGGTCGCTGGACTCCTTCCTCAGGTGGTCGAACTTGAAAGAGATCTTGTTGTGCGGGTCGAAGAAGCGGCCGTTTCCCAGGTCTCCATGCTCCGTTATCAGAACCTACAGAAGGCAGAGGTCACAAGGGCAAAATACTGATAAGTAACGAATGAGGGCATCGGCAGGTTTGTGGAAATGAGAAACACTTACTTGATCTTCATATCCATCAATTTTGGCACGAGTGAACTGATCCATATTGTACTGGGCAAAGGCACTGAATTAAAAAGAAAGGAAAATTAAATCATGGATATCATCATTTAAAAAAATCAGTCTGTTTGCTATGTTCAAAATCTAAAAAGACTTACTGAGAAGACCCCTCTCGAAGAAGACTATCATTGTTAAGCAGAAGACGCACATCTAAAAATAAAAAGCATGAGATGAGCCTCTTTCTTGTTTCAACACATGAATTTTGCAAAGCAGCTCTGACTCAGGAAAGTTGACCATAAAGAAGGCTCACCATTGAAGACTTCATTGAACTCCCCGGGAGGAGCGTGCATCACAAAATTGGCAGCGATACGGACCTGAAAGTGTAAAAGCTCGTCATAACACTGAAAAACACCACATAGTCTTTAATTACAGGGATAGCTAAGGGTTAGCTAAGTTCCGTCCACCTCTGAAAAACTACCACTGAAGAGAATAGGTTTTCTTACATTGTGCATTTCATTTATCTTCATTAAGACTTCTCCTTATTGGGAAAAATTAAATAGTGAAAAGTTGCATGTAGCCACTAGGGAGAAGCAGAGAGCAACTGGATGAAGCAGTAGCTCTACTTTGACCACTCCTTAGATGGCAGGCAGAGAGCTACATGTCACTGGGGGCTTTTCTTAGCCACTAGTATGCAAGTGTAAGCATATGCTGTTGAAACCTTTGGGTAAACCAGTTGTCAAAGTGTACTACTGCTCTCAAAAGGCAACTTCTGCCAAGTGAGAAATATATATATATCAACATAGTAAAAAAAGGAGCCAACATTTGTGATAAACAAAGAGGTTACATCAAACCAACACTCTTTCTAAGGGACCCTCACAGCCTTAACCGGCCCTGCTTCTTAGTATCACTCACAGTTAAGTAATTATGTGATTGTGACAGTGATGTTGTCCACTAGGCAGACAGGATTATTAAAGCCTTCGGGGCTAAAGCTGGCACTGACCTACAAATGGGCTATCGGGTGGAAAGACCACAGTGGCTTTGTGATGAGTAACCTAGATCACTGCAGCCGTCGCTCCATTCAGATCCCAGAAATCACTCACGGGCTCAGAATCAGCATCCCCTGTCATAGTTTTTAAACGCCAAGTTTATATCTGCCAGCAACTCTTCCAAGTAGATTAGACGTGAAAATTTTAAGTGGTTCGTTTAAATTCTGACTGTGCATTTGGATTCCTTTTAAAGGTTTAGTGTAGTAATGGCAGCAACAGGAGGAATAAGCTCCAAGCCACACCATTAGTCTTAGGAATGCAAAGCCTGACTTTGCAACATGTTGGAGCCTGATGTCGTACAGGCCCGTCTCAGTACCACTGCAGGGGACAGCATCTGCCCCACCTGGAAAGCCCTCACAACAAAGTTACTGTGTGGCAAATGCAGCCGCAAAACCCACCCCAGGTCAATCTGAATCTGCCCTTAAACGCCTGATGTTATCAGGACCAGTTCAAGAGGCTACGCTTCACAACGGAGAACTGGGTGCGGATGGTGTTTTGCGCCGATGCTCTGTCACTACCCTTACTGTAAATGCAGGAAGTAGCTCCACTTCCCCCACTTAGCACTAGCTAACCATTTCAAATCATTCACCATAAACTCGTAATGCTTCATCAGACACCATCCACAAACAATGCCTTGCGTGAGATTAGACACGGAGGGACAAAAACAAACGCACGAGTGTTTAAGTTCTAAATGTCCACAAGAGGAACCTTTAATGTTTAGCTCCTGTCAAATGCAACATCGAGCTGGTTTGGCTAGCCCCACCAGCACTAAAAACGGCCCGCCGAGTAACTCATGCAGTACTATGGGATTTTAAACAGCATGCCAGCAGAGAAAATGATTTGATATAACCGAAAACATTAACTTTAGTAGTAATAATACCTTCTCTTCATCGCTGAGCTCTTCGAAATCTGCCATCTTGACTCAATGAAGTGTTAACAAAGCAGCGGTGGGTGGATGTTGCCAGGTATGAGTTCGTCTTCTCCGTGCACACCGCCCAACCCGGAAATGTGTTAGGAAAACCTGCACGATGTGCACCATTACTGGCTTTGACTAAATGTATATGTACACCGATAGTACTTTATGATAGGTGTATGTAAAATAAAAAGAGCGAATTAGACCACTAAAAGATAAACTAATCATCACGGTCTCAAAGATTTACAAGTTTTACTTTTTCGTTGAATTATGGATTCTGATATCCTCTCTCCGTCCACAGTAATATATTCAGGCAGCGTTCGTCCCTTGAGAAAAGGGATCCACTTATTTTCATCCACAGCCTAAAGATGATAATTTCCCAACCTGGCAACCCTGCGAATTTTTATATACATACATTCATCTATTGGCCAATAAATTCCATTTGTATACTTTCATTAACCATATTTTATCACGAGTTACAATTTTAATAGCTGCTGCTTTATGTTTTCAGGAAAATGCACATACAAGGTAACCTGAAAATGAGTTGAGTGGAAAATGATTTGCCATGCTATGTTTTCCATTTCCAGTCTAGTTGGTGTGTCTTCTACACCTACGTATAATTTGTCCTTTGCTTCTTCTGAATATCAATTTGATTAATAAGAAAACAAATGAGCAAAGCTTCTATTGCAAAATCTGCCTAAACAACACTAACAAAAAAGAAAGAGTCAAAATTGCAGGACCGTACCTATCTAATAAAGTTCTTACATTGTAAATATTTCTATGCAAACATGAAAACCTTAATAAAAGTTTAATCGTAACAATGGGTAATATATCCACAAGCTGCAGACAACACACATTATTGTTTGAATACTTCTTTTAGAAAAGGGAAAAAACTACAGCAATTCATCCCAACAATTAACTTATCTTAAATAATGCAATAAAAAATAAAATAACCGCCAAAAGGACGCCATATTTTGAATATGGAAAGGAATTATTATTTAAAGGTAAATCTCAGTCTGTTTTAGTCAGAAACGCACACAGCGTTGGATGGTCACTGACAAGTCGCGCGATGCTACAGCAAAAAGGCCGCATGTTGAGTCGTTACCGTCCCAAAGCACGCATGCGCAGTTGATACTCTGTGACATACGGTATACCGCTACGCTATGACATAGATGCTAGTGGTTGTCCATGGTTTTGGGTAATTTCAAACAGAAAACAAATATAGAAGTTTATGGTAAGTACACATTTGCTATGTTGTCTACAAATTAACCATATGCACAGTGACTCATTTTCCAATCACGGTTATAACTGTGAAAGAAGCGGTTTGGTTTGAACCTTTCGCGTAGCTAATGCTAAATAGCTAACAGCTACATGTAGCTGTACCAGAATCACATAACTAACATGTATTATATATTAACGGCAAATAAACTGAAAAATTTTAATTCCAGCATTAACATAATGGAATTTAGATTTAAAGTGAACAATGGTTATCTTCTTTCGTGTCTGCTGGTAATTTGTGTTGTACGCCATTTGCAACAGGACTCCGTGAATGGACTCCATATCTAAAACGGACGTTGGCCAACATTGGCCTTTAAACTATAACCCTAAAAAGCCAGTGTTTGTTTTTATTACCGAGGTTACGATGGCTTAATGGAAATCTAAACGGTTTTTCACCGGCGAAAAAGAAAATAAATTCCAACACATCATTCAATTATGTATTTATTTGAATTTTGATCATTAGAATTGAATTGAAAAAATATATTAACTGACCTTAAGTGTCGAAGTGTGTTTGAGTTGGTTTACCCTGAAGGTAGTCGGTTATTGAAATTAGTCAGATAAACAAGCAGCAATAAATAGGAGGGTTAATCTTGAGTTTAAGCTGCTGTCTGAAGTGTACAATGAAATAAATTACAATTCTGTCCAAACGTTATGTACTGAATGCAAAGTCAGTACATTAAGAAGTTTTGTGTGACTTTTAATGGACTTTTGAACTGAATTATTTCATTTTAAAGTGAACTGCCCAGAGCCCCTGGAGTGCTCATTCTCCAAACTATGATTCACTTTTAATTTTCCCCCTTTTAGAGATTTGGGTCTTCAAAACAAGGCTACTCCACATCCAGGGCATCCAGGTTCAAGTTAAGGTATGTGAAGGGCTGCTCCCTGAAAAGCATGCATACATTCACCTCTAGCTGAAATCTAATGTAAAATTGTGCTTACTGTGTTTTGGACTAAAAACCTCAAGAGAATCTATATTCTTAAAATCATTTTACACTTTGCGTTTGGGGAGACTAAAGAAACTAAGAACAGCATTTCCGCGGAGGACTTTGACCAACGCGTGTTTTTACTTTTTGATTTAAGACGATATGGCTCACTCGGATTTTTCATCGTTTGATTGAAAACGAAATAAGGATTTTGTCACGGTGGCTCGACCATTTCAAGAGAAGAGGACATTTAAACCAAAATTTCATTGAATTTTTTAGAAATTGCTGCTCAAAAGTCGCCCGTACACCTCCTTCGTCTGACCAGTGGGGATCATTTCTCTCGCTTTGCGTTACGCTCAGCTGAAACAAACTTTTTGAATATGTGACTCAGCAATCATAATTTACAGTAAGAGGGTTTCGTGTGTGTTTTTACCTCCCTGTTTAAACCATTTATTATTTTTTTCCCATTTAACCTCAGATTTAAAGCAAGAAATAAGATGTGTAGTATTTCAGCCAGGGCTGGGTGACAGTTCATTTAAATTTAGCCTTTTATAACCTCTTGTTGAAATATTTAGTTTATTAGTGGTCCAGGGTGGACCTTTCCATCCCTGCCCATTTCCACATACACAGAAAGCTCAACATCTCATCAGTTATTTTATTTTGGAACCATCAACACATGTGTTTAAGGCCTTTGCTTACAAAGTTTTTGGCACGGCCAGTTTATTTGCACATTTCAAACATATAAAGAATATTTTCATCTGCTGTAACAGATGTTTTAGGCTTAGTTTGAAGTTTCACTCCACCATTGTCTAGATACATTCTGAAAACAATCATACCTACACCCCAGCATAGGGGAAACTGATTGTTGCAAGCAGTGCTGCAGTTTTTGTGGCAAACTTTTTTTTTATTGTTTACAGCGACAGGTCTACCATCTTGTTTTCAAAGCATGTTTCAAAGCTTTTGTTTGGTTACATTTTGAATTTAGATAAAACCCTCCAGAAGGGAACATCACAATTGAAATTAAACCTCTACTTTTTAGACATATCTCCCAGCCCATACTTTCTTCAACTGTGGTGTTCCCCAATTGATTCATCCTGCCTTTAAAATATTTGATAAAGTGGCTTCATCATATTTTTCCACCTGTTATTTGTTACTTTGGCAGTTGTCATTCGTGGAAAAGTAAAAGAGCACGAAAGTCGCCTTTGGCGGTGAAAGCTGATCAGGCGCCGTTAATGCTGCATTTTTCTGCAGTTGTCAGTCGAAACAAACTCGCGATATTCCGCGCCAGCAGGAGGGAACCTATTTGCGTGCATTTGTTATTCGCCGGCCTTCAACACTCAAAAAGTTTCAATGGGCGAAAGAGAAACGGAGGAACAGTATTAAAGAAAATCTGCCTGAAGATGCTGCGGAAGACCCTTTTCCTTTCAAATTTTCAGGCTTTGCATTTGAGAACTAATTTCCAGCCTTTGAACGTGCTCTGTCTGAACTCTGTGATTTTGATCTGCAACTTTTGGTCAACTAAACTCTTTATCCTTTAAGAAATTTGATCTCTTTTCTTAACTCACTGACATCTTTCAGGACCGTGGACGCTTTAAAGACGCTTATTCGCGAACAACCCAAACCCGCTCAAGCATTTGGGGCGCACGAAGAAAGAAAGCGGTAAACCTTGGGAACTAGTCATGTCTCGCAGAAGAACCCGCAGCCCGTCACCGGGGCGATACTCACGCACCTGCAGCAGTAATGATCCCAGAGATTTGGAGAGAAGAATTTTTGTTGGGAATTTGCCGACTTCTGACATGGAAAACAAGGATTTGGAAGACCTGTTCAACCCGTATGGGAAGATAGTCGGTTAGTACGTTTATAAGCGATAAGCTGCCAATTTGATTGAATTACAGTTTATAGAAGGAAGGCTGTCCCTGAATGTCACAGCTGTAGGAAATACTTAATTGACTTAAAGATTAATCTCATATAGTACAAGAATGTGTCTGCTAGTGAACTGGAAAGGTATCCAAATGTTCAGTATGGTCTAAAGTTTGTGCCACTTAAAATATTCCTCTTCCAGGCGTATCCTTGTTTCGAGGGTATGGATTTGTACAATTTGAGCGTGTTGAGGAAGCTGAGGCTGCAAGGGCAGCCCAAAAGGGTCGAATATATAAAGGTTACAAAATAGGTAAGCCCTAACTGCCGAAAGTGTGATTGTATGGCTGAAGAGGATTCGTTTGAATTGTTTAGCGGGCCATAAAAAGATAACAAAAATAACGACAGTCCCGGTTTTCTCTTTAAAAAACGTTTTCTTTCCAAATTCTATGCAATTTTGGGATTGATGTTTTTTATTCCTTGTGTCTCTGTTTTATCATTTTTAATGCCACAAAAAAGCTATTTCATAAGCTACTAGTTGTAAAGGATAAAAACTTTAGGATCAGATGCAACATATATTCACTTTTGTTTGACTGTTTATTCAATTGTGCGAAATCTCTTCCATGTTAGGTTGTTTTTTTTTTTTAAATCAGAGGGAAGGCTTTACAGACAGAAGATTATCTGGTAAATCATGCTCTGATAAGAGACTAAGACTTATAAAGTCTTTAAGGCATGTCTGTATGAGCCCTGCAAAAACAGATGCATTTAAAATATTTCTGGCCAGAATGTTTTTTACTTAACATAAAGTCGGAACAGAACTCCTGGGAAGTCCTATTAGCTGCGGTTACAACACAGCACACATTATGGACAAACAACAGAGGGGGGGAGTTGTGTTCGAACAAGTAGGGTGTCCTTTTTCAACAGCCCAGGGACAGTAAGAGGCACGTTTCTTATTTCAAAACATCTGTCAGGCGTTATAAATTGTCTCACCAATAGTTGACAGATACCACACAAGTAAAGTAGTTCAAGCTGAGAAAAGTGGAAACTAACAAAGCTAATAAGTATTTTGGCTTCTTTTCGGGGAGGGGGGGGTTCCCTCCATTGGACATGGGCTTATGAAACCCGGGGGCTCTTTTTGCCTCATTTCCCTGCTTGTTAGTGCAGACGTATGTTGCATCTGCTCTTATAGGTTTGTTCAGTAGATTATTGTAAACCCATTGATATGATCTTTTAAGCACCATTTTAGCAATATGTGGTGGTACTCTGCATTTAATGAAATGTCTGTAACAAAATGAGAAGAGCCATGGCCAACAATAAACACGAGCACTGTTACATTCTGAGGAACCTTTAAATTGTGTTTTGGATTTCAACTCAACGTGGATTTTTCGGCGCCGCATATGTTGGACTCTGGTACCGGGATTTTCTTTATTTCATTTCCACCTTCACTCTTTGCTAGTTGCTAGCAAATTGTCAAACGGAGAAAACCCTTCATGTCTTATTCATTTGAACTCAATTTGGCAACTCAATTCGCTGTTTTCTGCTTTCGCTCTGTTTGGATTTTCAAATTTGGATCCTGGCACTGGATTTCACGTGGACCGTGAAAGTGTTGACGAGGCCAGTCATTTAGCGTGAACATTAGCTGATCTACATGTCATTGTTATGTTCAACGTTTGGATTGATTTATTTTCAGATGTAAATATGGCAGTGGAGCGACGGCAAGCTAAACCTCAATCCCAGCAGAGCCCTCCACGAAGGTAAAGTAACGCGAAATGGGTTTTGACCATCTCCTCTGAAGTGTCGGTGTAAAAAAAAAAAAGGGGCGGGGGGAAAAGCGTTTTCCTCACCTGTTGTTTCCACCAGTCCTCACGGAAGCCACTTCATCATTGGGTGTGTTTGCAATGGTTTCTGGACAAGGAATATTTCACTCAAAGACTCCTGATGTGTTGAAATAAAGAACAGAGACATACTGATGTAATTTAAGTGTCTTTGTCTCCAAAATTATTGACCTTTATGGTTTTCTGTTTTGGTTTTGTTGGTGTGTGATGTCATCCCACGTCTCTTCTTGTGGCTAAAACAGCCCTCTGGTAAACATGAGCTGTAACCCTCTGTTCAACTGCGTGGTATCAGACAAATGGCGTGCACCCGGAACCGCGGTTTTAGCCACGAGAAACTGATGGCTGTGCCTTAGGAAAACCAAAGGGAGTTTTATCGGTAAACAAACCTATACCTACATTGACAACTCCATTACAGTTGTCCACCGACATGACTTGAGCGTCTACCTCTGTGTACCGTACATAAAATGTCACCCACTCTTAATATTTTGCTCTCATCTGCAATAACTTTCGCGTCGCGCCCCGTATGGTCCATCTGAACGCTTGCCGTCGCGGTTTAGTACAGTGCAGCGGCAAAAATGACTCAACGGGGTCTGTTTCTGTAAAACGGCCGCGGTTCGGCTCCAGTTCCAGCTGGAGGGGAGGCACTTCCTCGGAATGGGGGAGAAAATGTAAAAACTTTAATGTGACCAGCTCCTGGTTGAATCCCTCTGACTCGAGCTCTATGACTCGAGTTAACCGTTATGAGATAAGTTTATATCAAGAGTTTTTTTTGTTGTTTTTTAATCGCAAGTAATTAACAATGTTCTTATTTGTTTTACTTTAAATGATTTGGAACTTGAAAATGTTTCTTACAAATTGGAAAAGAAACCATTAAAACCTGAAACTTTGTTAGAAAATGTCAACATATTGGTGTATTTCTAAGTTTAAGTTGTAAGTTAATTGCTACCTGGATTAATGTTATGATTGTTGTACAAATATAGTTTTTTCTTCTTATTTGATCCAAATTTCAGGCCTGTTTCCATCCACTGTTGTGTTTCAGAGACTTAAAGCATTTGCTGTTCTTCCACTAATTCATAACGATTCTCTCAGGGCCCCGTACAACAAAGATCCCCGACCTCGGTCACGCTCGCCCATATATGGGCGCGACGGACGGGATCCGAGAGACAGCCGCGATGGGAGGGACTCTGGTAGGGACTCTGGGAGAGACTCCGGGAGAGAGCCGAGACCTGCGAGCCACTCTCGCGACCCCGATTATCGATACCGCACCTCCGAGAGCAGAGACAAGGACATCCGGAGCGACCCGCGGGACTCCGCCTACAGGTGACCAGCGCCCAGCCCCAGCAGCCGCAGGCCTGAAGCTTGTTTCTGAGCCCCAACTCTGCCCCCATTACAGAGACGACTACGACCGATACTACCGCAGCGGCAGCAGCGCAGAAGACTACTACAGGAGGAAAGATGAAGCCTACAGGGACACCTACATGGATCCCTGGAATGGACGCCGTGACCCAGGAGGTACGTTTACCACCCAGAGCACACAGAGATATTCAGCTCAGGGAGGTTTCTTTGCAGGAATACAAACAATTCAGAATATTTTCACAACCTCACGAGATGTTTTGTGGCTCTGTGATCGTTTCCCGCTTCTAAGATTTAAATTTTTTTGTTCCCCTTCGTTGGGTTGACAGCAAAGGGGCCACAAGTGCAGGGTTTAATGTGTTTGGTCAGAGCTGGAAAGTTCTCAGCATGTCAGAGGAGGCTAACGTTTGTTCACAGCCTTTCTGGAGCAATCTGAAACGCAGGAGAATCCCTGTGATGTGACACCTTTGTCTCCCGCCCAGCGGTAGAGGATCGCGCGCGGCCCGAGGAGCGGCGGCGTAACGAGCTGTACCGGCAGTACTACGAGGAGCTCCAGCGGCGCTACGACACAGAGCGCCCCGTCGACTGCTCTGTGATCGTCGTCAACAAGGCGCAGAAGTAAGTTTCCTCGCTGCGCCTCACTGGCAACGCACAGCAGGCAGCAGCAAAGTTTTTGCAAAAATCCAACCAGGGTGTGGCATGTTTTCATTTCATATGGGTCCTCTGTGTGTGCGTGCGTGTGTGTGCCTCCCTGTGCTTGTACTTTGAAAACAACTGTAGGGAGTATGCCGAGACGGTGGGGCGGAAAGTCCGGGACCTGGGGATGGTGGTGGATCTGATCTTCCTGAACACAGAGGTGTCGCTGACCCAGGCCCTGGAAGACGTAGGCCGAGCCCGCACCCCCTTTGCCATCATCATCACGCAGCAGCACCAGGTGCACCGCTCCTGCACCGTCAACATCCTGTTCGGCACGCCTCAAGGTAGCTCCAGACAGACACGCGTTTGCTCGCCATGTGACCAGTAAGCCTCCGCAAAGAACAGCAATAAAGCGCCGCTCAATCCACTCTTTGTCCCAGAGCACCGAAACATGCCGATGCAGGACGCCATGATGCTGGTTGCCCACAACTATGACACGTACAAAGTGGAAAATCGCGAAAAAGAACGGGAGGAGATCGCCAGAAAGGCGGCCAAGATGGCGGATGACGTGCTGATCCGGGAGCTCGACAGAGAGGGCCACCCTGTGTCGGTCCTCACGGCCATCACGCTGCTGTCAGAGAACAGGTGTGAGCTTTTACAGCATGCGTCTCAGTAAAAGCCTTTCATTTAAAAAAAAAAAAAAAAAAAAAGCTCAACATTTGACTGTGTCTGGTAGGTTTTTAACTCCGGAAGAACTGGAGAGCCTCATTGCGTACCTGAAGGACAAGAGGGCTCGGCTGGTGCGGACAGCAGACCCCCTGGCAGGTAGGTCACACGCTCCTCTGACGACTGCACACTAAACCAGCGTGCGGTCGCTGGCAATATCCGTACCAGGAATCTTCCCCGGGGATAAAGCAGCTTTTGAGTTTTTACGAGAAGAATTTGACTGCATGTGCTCTGTTGCAGCTTCGGTCCACGTCGGGGCTCCTGCTCACGGGGTGCACCATGACGTCCAGCTGTCGGCGGCGGGACTCCCCCCCTCCACGCACGCCGTCTCACAGCCGGCTCACCACGGCCTGGCCGGTCCGAGCGCTCCGGCCAACCCCAGCCACCAGCAGGAGCTGCAGGCCAAGATCCTCAGCCTGTTCAACAGCGGGACGGGCAGCGCCGCCGCCGCCGCCGCCCCCCAGCCCCACCCCTACAGCTCTCTGGGCCCGGCCCCCTCCCAGAACGCCGCCCGCCCCGTCATGCCGGGGCCGCCGGCACCCGGGTCGCAGGCCTACGGCACCCCGCCCAGCCGCGGTCCCGTGGCGCAGGCCCCTCAGAGAGCCCCTCTGGCGGCCTCCGGCATCAACTTCGACAACCCCAGCGTCCAGAAAGCTCTGGACACGCTCATTCAGAGTGGACCTACCCTCAACAGTCTAGTGAGCTCTGCGGCCTCTCAGCAGCCCCCTCAGAGATCGGCACCCAGCATGGGCCAGGTCCAACCCATGTCAATGTACCCCCGACACTACTGACGGGTCAATGGGCCCCCCCCCCCCCGGTAGCTGTAGAGTCCACACGTGTCACAAACTTTGTCCTTGTAGACTGTAGGGGTGTTTTGTAAAGATTTTTATCAATTCTCCCCCAACGTTGTGCTAAAATTTGATGATTTCAGACCTCCGATTGTCTGCATTTTGATTGTTTGCCTGAAGAATTTTATTGTCTTTTTACATACCAGTTAAACAATGAGGTTGTGCAGTACATTTGCTTTGGTTCTGGACGGACTTTTGTTTTCCAACCATTAATCGTTTGTGTTTTATAGTTTTTGCACAGTATTCTATAACGTGTATTTTTGTTGTCATGGTCAAAACGAGACATTAAAAACTCCAGACACGATTGCTGTAATAAAATGGTATTGGTTTATTGCATTTTGTGCTGACAAATCTATAAAATGGTACGGGTATCGCCAGAAGCCATAGAGATAAGCATTTGAAATGTAAGATAAAACTACATTTTTCTCTTTTAATGTACCATGAATCACGATAGAGAATAATACATGTCCTTTTTTTATTTTAGAATATTTAACTTACACCGACACAGAAAATAAACACCTCCACACTAACTGTATTTGTTTTATTTACACGTAGCTCCCTCCCACCCTAGCCCGTAACGCACCCCCACCCCAGCAGTTACAAGTGCACGTGTACACACATACACACTCCCACAGAACTGAAAGGAACACACTACAGCTTAACTATAAGACTGGGTACGGTATTGAGGAAGAAATAATGAAAGGTTCAGAGTGAACAAACATTTCAATAATAGTGAACTTTGATACAGGTGCCTGTTAGCTAATCTACATCCATTACGTGTTTCAAGCATTCATACAAAATAATTCCTGCTAAATCCAGTGAATTAAAATACAGTTTGGGAGGCAGCAAGGTTCCTCTGGAGGGAAGTGCTGCAGGTTATGTTTATTGTACTTTTTAAAACTTCCAAACACTAAAGGAAGGGATTTTTGGGGGGAGAATGTGCACCTTTTGAGGTTAATATATTTCACATATGCAGAAGGCCTTCCTAGTTTAGCAAAAGAAGACAGAGAAAGAGACGGGAGAAGTCCTTAAAGCCTCCAAACAGGACTCAGAGGCCTGGCCCTTTCCCATCTGTTTGCCAGCTTTCAACAAGAAAGAGGATTTACCAACATGTTAAACTTTATGCTTTTAGAGCTTGTTAGTCATCCAATCTAAATTTTTTAGTGTCTTTAAATGTGTTTTTGTTGAACCACAGCTGCTGAGTTTTGATCCGGCAGCAGACCGAACACCCTTCAGGATGCTTTAGTGTAGAATTAGCACATCTAAAGTGCACAACATGCTTAAAGGTTTTTTTTAAACGTCTGCTACAAATGTGAAGGTAATGGGACTCCTCTTGTCTGAATCTAATTCACTGGATCCCCCTTTTTCACACAGAACCGATAAATACTTTGGTAATAACTGCAGGTAATTGACACGACGAGGGGACCTTTTCAACAGATGTACCATAAAAAATAGAATTTGTACCATACTGCTAATCTTAGAAACAACAATAGGCCAGTCTTAAGTAAAGAGAAAAAGTATCTTACAGCTAGAAAGAAAAAGTTTCCGACTGATTCAAACGAAAACACTTTGTATATCACAAACATCCAATATATTTTCAGCACACCTTGTTCAGGGTAGTTGCATGCATGCACTGAGTTACACGACATTACTGGAACGGGGCTCTGCCTGCACAGCAGCGACAGCATCTTGAGTTCTTCTCATCTGATTCCAAGAGAGATTGCAGCTGTTGTGTTCCCTCCTATGCGTCAGACAACATCTGACGCCCGTGTGATCTACTGAAGGGGCGTGATCTTATCTCAGCTGCAGACTGTGAGCCCTCTCTGCAAAAAAACCTGGGGTTAACTTTTGTTTTCGTCGATGTCTTAACCACGAGAACCTCCTCAACCCAGTAACAGATGTGTTTCAGAGCCCTTAATATCCATTGAAGGATGGAGACTGAGTAATGATCACCGGCAGATATTTGTCTCATGCTACAGTTGTGCAGGTGAAGGATCTGATCTAAAGCGTGGATCAGTTTGGGGGGTGGGGGGGGGGGGGGGGGGGGGGGGGTTACGGGGGACATGCTGGTCTCTCAGTCAGCTGTCTCCTGCTGTCCAGGCGGAGCCGGTGCCAGGATTGGAAGCGCAAGTTTGTTTCTTTGATCGTTTTTTTCTGAATTATACTGCAGTCACATTTAAAATACAGAGCTGGGACGGATTTTTGTGGCTGGGATGGGGGAGTCCAGAGCTTTTAAGGGGGAGATAGGAGAGGTGGGAGGGGAGGGGATTCACAGAAAAGAGTGACACGCACTATAAATTCAACAGTTATTTTTCTTTTAAACAAGTTTGGCAAGAGAAATAAAAAATAAAATAAAAAGTTAAGAATGCTATTCATGCTAAAATGTCCAAAAGATAACAGAATCAACCGATACTTTCTGATATAAATAAAGAAATGAATAAAATTGAAACTGGTCAGCTGTCAGGCCGCCACGGCTGGCTGTAATACAGCCGTTGGCCAGCAGAGGCCAGTGTGGGGCAGCCTGGACCCTCCACAAAGTGCCCCCCCCCTGTGTCCAACAGCATGCTGTCTCAGCAGCATTTGGGCTCAGCAATTAGGCCAAAAGAGGCCTGATGACAAAACACTGACCATTCAGCGTCTGCTGAGGCCTTCCGTTCAAACGCAAACACGATCGACCAGATGAGAAAAGAAAATCAAAGTGTGAATGACATTGCACGTGATCTTACAAAACTCCAAGACTTTGTCCACAGTGATAGAACAGTGTACAACAAAAGACAACACTAGAAAGGTTACAATGTTTCTGATTTAAGTGATATATGACCATTCCTAAGGCCCATCAATTCCCCAAAACTCAAAATCTCCTAAGTTACATAAGACTACTTGAGCAAGATTGAAATAGTAACAAGTAACAATATAGTGAACTCATACTTTTTCTTATTTTTTTGTCTTCAAAGTCTGGCCACGCTGCCATTGAGACCCCCACCCCGCTGCACCTTGAAAGTGCAAGTCATTACTATAGAAACCACTGAAACAAATATTGCCACATAGTACCATGCAAACAGCAATTATAAAACATTTATAAGTCAATAAGTAAATTAATCTCCAATAAACGTCCCAAATAAACATCGGATATCTTCTCTTTTGAATAAATTTAAAAGGCTCAGATGATGCAGGCAATGTCGTTGAGGCAATCCCAAACAAACGGCGTTCCTCAAAAAACTGCTGCGAGCGACCTATGTGTCAACAAGTTAACAGAAAATCCCCCAGGACCCTGAAAACCAGGAGTCACTTCTTGTTCATAAGTGTCACAGGTGTTAAAGGTAGTTTTTCCAAACAGCATCGTTATCAAATACATCAGAGATATTCATATTTAAACATTTTGGCAACGCCTTCTTCAAATACACCACAAAAATTAAACTGCCGTTACGCTAAAGTCGCTTCTCAACTTGCGGGATTTAAGAGGAGAGCATTTAAAAAGAGAGAAAAAGGGTGGAGCATTTGCCCTCAGTCGGTGTATTGCATCAAGATATTTAGTACAGTTTTCTAGTAAAACAGAAAGGTAACCCTGTCCAGAGATCACAGGCCAAATGTCTATAGGTAAAGCCTTGTCTTGTTAGATAAACACCACCACCACTGATATGTTTGTCTATACCCTTTTTCACTTTATCGTTAATGTCGACTCAGTCATCTCTATTTACAGTACATATAAATCTATAGATACTAGTGTAGCAGCATTCACAACATATGGTCAGACATTCAAGCAACACTAAAAACATTAAATACGCTTTTTTTTAAATAGATCTAGAAACTAAGTTGTTTTGCTTTCTTATACTGTATATACTGTGTATATATATGTGTATACATAAATATATATGTATACATATATGTATATATATGTATATATACTGTATATGTATACATATATGTATATACATAAATATATATATATATATGTAAATGTTCTTATTTATATTTATACTTCTACTACAAGTGCAAATGACCAAAAATAGTTTCTTTAAGAAAAGAAACAGGAATAATTAAAGTAAAGTGACAGCTGTCCTTGGTCAGAGTGAGATGATTCTGGATTGTATAAGACTTACGAAATCTACATATACAAAATATACGTTTAAAAAAATAAATAACATGATCACATGAGTCCAGATTTCAACTATTGCACATTCCTTCCAAGATGCACTTTTTTCCGCCTAAGTATGATTCGCTTTGCAACTTTAACAATTGGGGACGCGTGTGGCTCAAATCTTCACCGATCTAGAGGATATAAAATCTGCCTGAAGGATCTACTGCATAGAGTTAATTCTCATGGATGAAGCAGGATTTGAAGCTACAGAACTCCTTCTCTTCCCAAAGCAGACCCCAAGGACAAATAGCTGATGGACGCTCGGCATCCCGACCTGCCTCAAGCCACAGGCTGTTTCATGGAGTGCAGAACATTCGTTCTTTAACTGTCTGTAGGACCACTTTCCAGCTACATTATCACTATTCTACTTTCATACAGACACTCCTTTGACTTTTTCTTCACTTCTATTGGAATCCATATAACTTCGCCCCCCTACTTTTCTTTGAAAAATACTTTGATATGGCACATTTAATGTATCTAAATTTGGCAAAAAACAATGATAAATAGCTTTGAGTGACAATAAAAATGACATAAAACTATTTCTTCAATATGCGTAACTTCTGTCTATAAACATAAATACATATTTGTTCTCTACATGAAAAAATAACGTCGCTTTTTTTAAAATGAGCTTGATGAAATCATCAAAGTTTCACTTGTTGCACAGTGGTGAACAGTGCAGGTGCAGTGCTTTTTCCAGCTTACAATGACGGTTACCATAGTGACAGGAACCTCAGCCATCCATTAAATGAATTAATACAATAAATAAATACAATTTTTTTTTTTTAAAAGAGCCATTTCGAGTCATCCCTCTGAGAAAAGGAACCTTTTTCTCACCACTACAAGCTTTTTTAGTTTGTCACAAAAATACTACACTCATACTGAACAACGCGTCAGAGCTTGTACATTATTTACAGTGACTCACACGAGGGTCTGGGGGCTGCTGGCGACGGTAATCTCCTCGAGGGGATGGGCTTTGTACTGTCTCCCCGCTCCGCTGTCACGCCAGCTTTTCCGCTAGGAAATTATTCACAGTTTAATTATGTGTCAATCTCAACAGACTAAGTTAGCCTTGGAAATTTGTTTTTCTTTTTTTGGCACGAACGGAGGCCCGGATGGATAGGCAAACCACCTAACCACGGGTTTGAAAGGAGGAGGGTGGATGCCACTAACAGAACAAGTGTCATAAAACACACACACAGAGCTGTAAGGTCGGCGTGCTGAACGGCGATCGGGTTGAGGATGAGGCTCCGTTTCGCTCTCCTTCGATTGCAGGACTCTCACAGTTCTTATTGAACGGCTGTACTCTCCTCCTTCCTCCAACTTCCTTTGGCGCAGCGGCGTCTGTGTCCGATCTCCACGAGGGAAGCTAGCAGACAGTCCTACTCCGAGCTGACTTCCGCATGCTCACCTTTGTTCTCAGCGGGAACCGTGTTCACACCACAGTTGTGATTTTAAACACATACAAAAACAAAAAAACGACAAGACACGCACATGCATGTGCACTCACACCTCAGCGAACAACCCGCGCCCAAACCGTCAGCTCCTCCCGTCAGAGTGTCAGTTACTATAGTAGATTACAGACTAGCAGAGAAAGGGTGGGGGGAAAAAAATCAGAGGCCTTTTTAGTTTTTTTGTTGTTGTGGTTGCGGTACTTTGAGCAGGTTTGTCGAGGTTTGGTTTGTCTGATGGGGACGGAGCTGGGACAGAGGCGCTGAAGCTGAGCGGGGCTCTGGGCTGGGTGTGAGAGGACCATTTCACGGAGAAAAAACCAACACAATGGTCATGAAGCTGATGAAAGGATGGGAGCACAGCTGACACTGGGATAGGTGTGAGGGAGGTGTGGTGGTGGTGGTGGTGGTGGTGGTGGTGGGGGGGTGGGGTTGGGGGAGGGGGTAGGGACTGCTCTTTCAGGAGTAGATGGTGATCACTTCGCGACCGCCTCCGCGGACCAGCAGGACCCGGTTGAGTCCCTCGGTGAGGACCTCCAGGAACTCCATGTCTTTGAAGGAAAAGTTAAGGAAACGACCGAGAGAAGTAAAAAAAAAAACACACACACACACACAAATCTACAAACATAATTCACAACTGAATTCAAATCCTGCTGGTGTTATTCTTCTTATATTTCATAACCAGTGGGAGCCATGAACCTCTGGGATAATTTAAAGAATTACAATTGGCTTTATTGCCTTTAAAGCCGTGATGGCTCCTGAAGGTATTAAAAGCAATAAAGTCCGCTACAAAGACTTTTAAGACTTCATCTTGAAAAAGGCTAAAGCTAGACAAAAAGTTATTTCTGGCACCATCTTTTCCCTATCTTTTCCCTAAATAAAGACATTGATACCCGAAAACCAATATAAATCTAGCACAGAAATGACACAAATAGATGTTTTTCCAGTTGATTTGGCTACACTGAAAAGTATCAAAATGTCCATTTGTGAATTTTACAGTTTTCACAAAACATAAAGGTCAGCTTATCATCAGTTGACATAAATGATCCATTTCAATCTGAATGCTAGAGGCTAAAAGAGTAAAACTATTGAATCGCCTGCAAATATTGGAACCAAAAAGCTAATTTCCTCAAAAATACTGGTCAGCTTTTTGATGGAAATTCATTATTCATCAAATACATTTTGATTTATTGTTTAAATAGAAAACCAGACATGATTCCCAGAGATCTACAAATGTACCTGTGCTCTACTAAAACAGCCTTTAAGATCGCCTAAATGCTCATAAACTTGCCATGCTATTGTTTTCTAATCGACTGCTGGAGAGTGGCAGACACCTATGATCCCAGTCTCCAACATAGACTAAAGGAAAACAGGAAAGATCTTCATTTCACAGACAATAAATTGAATTTGACTACATTTAAGATCTCCAGCCTGGTTCATATTAATGTTTAAATCTGCTTCAACCCTTGAAATCGCCCAAGTGCAATCAAATGCTTTCAGCTTTTTTTCTTTTCTTTCTGAGACTCAAGTGGCACTCGGGATGTGAGCACAAGTGACACCGTTGTCATAGCTGATTACTGTGCTGTCAGCCTCACTTTGGAGGCAGCTCGCAGCAAAAACCCGCTTCTGTCCTGCTGAAGGATACAGTTCTCTTCACCTGTCCGGTTCTTCGGAGGCCCCGGCATGTTGAGGAGGACTAGTTTGGCTTCGGAGGACTTTTTGAGGATGACTTCGTTCAGCCGGAGTGCTGTGTGCATACGTCTCACGTTGGACTGGTTCCTGAGTGAAGACCAAGCCACAGAAGAGCGTTCAGGCTCGTCCATTCGCGTTTTCAGACGTGACATGGGGACTTTTTTTTTTTAAAGATGATCAGAGTTAACATCAATGGCAGACGCTCATTCACACGTTTCTTAATGATCCTTTTCATGTGTCTGGGATGAGGAGGGACTGCATGAGGTTTATGAGGGTTTCGGTACTTACAGGTTCTCCCACTCGCTGCAGCATGGCAGGGAGAGAAACACGTCATTATCAGGACTACAGTCGGTCGCTTCCTGTAAACTTCATCTCTCCTCACGCACACAAGCTTCAAACCTTGAGTTCAGTCAGAACTCTTTGGTGCTTCATTGCATTTTAAAAACTAAACATGAGCCAAGAGGAACAAACTGCCTAGAGACCAAAGGCGCTTTTTTTTTTTTTTTTTTTTCTACTGAGGGGTGAGAAGGCCGTGCACCTTTACAGTATCTTATTGTCATTTATCGCAACACTCACGGCTTCATGTTGAAGATGTCTTTAATCCCCTCTGGTGTGGCGGCTCCGGGGGGCTTGGCCGGCTCGCCGTCTAACTTCTCGGTCCAGGTCATCTGGACCTGCTCCCCGGGGCTCTGGGCAGCCTCGGGGGTCAGCGGGGTGGCCGGGGTGGCAGGGCTGGCGGGGGTGGTGTTGTCGTGGATGAGCTGGACCTGGGCAGGGGGGGACACAGTGGGAGAGGCCGACTTTGACTATGAGACAAGAGGAAAAAACGGGGGACGGATGTGGATTTACGAGCGTGTTACATGGAGAGTTGAAAGAGCCACGGTTGAGGTGGAAATGTAGGAAAATGTAGGCCAAGCCACAGAGTCACAGAGTTTGAGAAAAAGAAAGGAAGGAGAGGTGGGATTAAGAAGCCATATGCGGTCGTTTTTTTTCTTTTTTTTCCCCTATGGGATCACCTATGCTTTAAAAATGCTTAAAAGCTTAAGAAGTTATCAGTCTGGCAGAAAAGGGAATATGTCTCTCCTTCAGCTGGGTCACATAGTTTCAGCTTTAAAGAACATGGGAAATATGGTTGTACTGTTAACCAACAAGAGGCAGATAATGTGAAAATGTTTTAAACGTAAACATAAAGATACCCACAGCAGATCTTCACTTAGCTAAGCATAGTTACAAGCCTGGCTCTACCTAAAGGCATTTCTAACTCCATGTAGTTAGCTTTACAAAGAAGGAGGAAAAATCTCTGCAGTTATTGAGTGTTAATAAGTAATAGCTAACCAAATCTTAAATATACCTAATGTCACAGATTATGACAAGGTGAACATATTGGACATAAAACACAGTTTCTAAAATGATGCAACCGTTTTTTCTGGACATCTGAGGGAGAGAAAAAAAGCATGATAAACCGCTCGAACAGCAGAATGCACCAAAAGTCACACCAGTCATGTTCTTTTGAGTTTCTTGAGTATATTTTCCTATTTTACTCCCAATGGCTTTAATGATTTTTAGGGTAAATGTGGGTGTCGGGATCAAGTGTTAAAAACTGCCTCTAAACTGTATGCTTTTTGCTCCATAAAGCTCAGCGGATAAGCTTCAGTTTAGCTTAAATAGTATGTAGTCAACAAAATTATACTGCTTAATTAGGAAAAAATGCACTGCTGCGTACTTAGTCGGATAATTTGCAATTGACATTTTATTTTTGCATGAAGTTTGAAACCCATAAACCAAAACCAGCTGTAATCTGCTGAAGATGATGATCCCACCTCTTCTTCGGGCTTCTCCTCCTTGCTGGCTGCAGGTGGTTCCTCGGTCACACTTAGCTGGGTGGTCACAGCGGCTGGGTTTTTGCGGCGGATAGACCCACGGGAGGAATCTGTAATGCTCTGAATCTGTGATCACAGCAGCGGAGGTTAGGGGAAAGGTGTGATAGATGCCCTTTATTTCTCAATAAAGGGCATATTTTAACAGGAGTTAAACCCCACCATACTTACTCCATGCACTGACCAGGAACAGCTTATGTGAGTAGCGACCGTGCTTCGCTGTGCATACATATCCTCAGACTTTCTAAACACTGTCGACTCTCTGACAGAATGGATAAATATGGTGTCCTACTCTTCTGATTTTGCCTTAGATATGCTTTTGTCTGGGGGGGGATCTGTGTCATGTTAAGTCAAATCAAGCCAAGTGAAGCCAAGTTGGCCTGTCAAGTCACGTCAGTTTTCTGAGGGCATCTTTGAATGCATTCAAAAGGGAAACCTTGACACAAACAAAGTTTCTTACCTCTTTTTCGCGCTCACTCTTGGTCAGATTGATCTGTTTAAGCATCTGTGACCGTTGCTCCATCACCAGGGTCTTTTCGTAAGTGTAAGCCGAGATGTCACCGTCATGCTGTCACAAGGGGACAAAACATATTTTCACTCGGTTGATATCCATCGCGCATCCACTGCTACATCTGGCCTTGGTAACATTATCCCATTTGCTGCTGACCCCTCATTTCATCTCCTGACATAGTTGTAGCCAACGGCCGTTTAACTTCTCAGACCGAGCAGAAATGAACCTGAACTAAGGGCAGTAGTCTTGAGGGATTCTTCGAGCGAGTCAGATCACACAACGCCGTTTCCCTTTCATTCATCTGGCGTCTCCCGATGCCGCAGCACACTGTATTTTATGGCGTCCATTTAACGAGCGCTTGTCGTCCACAGCAGCCATTTCCTCATTGAGTGTGAAAATGTTTCTGTGTTTACTGGATTAATGGACCCAGCCTGGGGCATTCGTGGATTTTATAATCAAGTTCCCAGCTGACTGGTTCTAACTCTAAAGTGCTGATGAATCTGGTTTTATGGCATATGCGGGAAGCTTTATGGATATATCAGTGCTTCCAGCCTTAAAACAAACAACAAACAAACAAACCAAAAAAACTCACCATTTCCACAACTTCTACCATGGCTTCAATACGGAGGTGATAGAGGAACGTGGTCAAGTCCTTTTTCATCTGGATGCTGTTGTCGTCCATCTGGGCCACAGTGAAGATGCGCATCTTGCACTTCCTCCAGACCTGAGAAGCAAAGGTTTTACTACTGACACATCCCTTTTTGATTATTACATATAATATGAACAGCTGGCTTAAGCATTATTTAGAAATACTTAAAAAAATGCAGACAGCATATCGAAACTGCTAATCAAACTGCAGAAAAAAATCAATGTGTATTTGTATATATATTCTATATATTATGTAATAAATGTGGATATGAGGAAAATCATATAAGGAAAATAATGCTGGATTTATTTTAGTCAGAACTGCTGCACGGTACCTTGTGCTGGCGGAGCAGGAAGGGCAGCAGCATCAACATGCCTCCATCATGAACGATCCACCACACGTCGATGTGGCCCTCAGAGAAACGCTCGCCGTTGGACGGGAAGGCTGAGATGTTCTTCGGTACAAGCAGAGCAAGGCGTGCTGCAGTGGTTTCTCTGACCAGCTCTGCCAAACACGCACACAGAAAGATGTTAGCTGTATGACATCAGAAAAGTATCGAAGGCGCTGAGGGTTTGGGCCTCCATGCTGCTCCACTCTGACGTTTCTGCGGATTTGGATCGAGTTAGCTGGTGTTTTGAGTAATGATTTCCCCCCATAAATGTGTTTCCTTTCTCCTCTTTAAAAGGGTGTACCGCATTAATAGGATGCTGCACACCTATTTCCCTTAACAGAAAGATTTAAAACAGCTGGAAGTACTAAAACCTGCAGCTGATCCTGTTCTCAGTGAGATGCTCCAGCTGGACATAGAAAGAGCGTGAAACCCTCTGTTTTTACTTGAAGATAAGAGCGATTGAGCACCGGCCCAGTTGTTTATCTGATAGATTTCCCTGAGGGCACATTTCACACTGAGCGAAAGCTTTTGGGTTCGAGCGCATTTCGTTCGATTTTTTTTCCAGCAACCCACCGATAAAGTTCCTCCAGTGCTGGTGCTCGTCCCCCTGCTTCCAGGTGCGCGGCCAGGACAGCAGCACGGCGTTGTGCTTCAGGCCTCCCAGCCCGCTGGCCTGGAGCAAATGGGATGTAGCATCCCGGAGGTTTGAGGACACAGTCACCTGGCAGAAGCCCTTCACCTTCTCGGTGTCCATCAGCTTCTTAAGTGCCTGCAATGGCAAGGAAACAAACTAACTTAAGAAAGTACACATAACAGCTTCTTCATCGGAAACTTCAATTACAAAACTTCCATGATGAAAACGTGTGGCTATCGTCTGTTGTTACAGGATCACATTTCATCAACAAGATCAAGAAGGCATATGAGATAAACATAAAAATCAATTTTAGCATGATAAATATGGCACAGGATCACACAATCTATTATGATAAATTGGTCAGAATTAGAGAGATTTATAGTCGACTTTGCATAAATACATAGAGTACAACAGACAGCCTGACAGAACAGACAGGTCAATGGAAATGAAAAAAGACCAGCTAGCAAAAGGCTCTTCACCTGCTCTGCACGCTGGGCTTGCTCATTATTCTCCAGGTAGCTGCCCACCAGGGCTGTCCCAACAATAGTCAGACCTTTTCCTGCCTTCAGCTGGTTGGTCAGAGACAGCAGACGTGGCTGCTCTACATTCTGCTCTCCGTCAGTGCTGACCAGCACCAGCAGCTGTGGCCTGAGGAGCGCAGAGCCGAGCGAGAGTGAGACAGCATGTAAAGTACAGGGAGACCAATAAATGGGCCGCGAAACATGGAAATAACATTCTCATGTCAATCAACATCATCATAACACAGGACAGTTGGTGCCATACCTCCAATTCTTGGTGTGCGGGGGACCTTCCTCCAGCCTCATCAGAGCGTACCGCGCAGCGCTCAGAGACAGACCGCGTATCCCATCACCCCACTCTTTCTCCGCACTGACACACACACAGGGCCAACATTAGTCAAAACAAGAACAAAAGCATTACAGCTTCAAGCTGAATTTCAAAAGTGACAGTCAGAGACCCTTTAGAAACTTTTAGAGATAAGTCAAAGGCAAAAGTAAGTAAAAGTCACTGACCACAAGAAACCAAAACACCTCAATGTGTAATTACGAGTACTGATTGATTACTGGAAGAAACTAACACCAGGCTCTTTTTGAAATAATATTGTTTGTTGTTAGAAAGTTGCACACCTCAGTTTAAAACTGGGGTGTGTTCATCTGGTTTAGTTATTTTTTTGATGATTATTTCAGGACTTAAAATACATTCACAATGAATGTGGAAAAACAATCTAAAGCATCTTTTTTTTTTGGTTTCATGTCATTGTGCAACTTGTGCAAAGTATGCAGAGGGAACACTAACATTTCTTTGAATAACAAAAAGATATGGCAACACGCTCACGTGGCAGGATGTGAGCGGACACGGTATGAGGAGCTGGCCCCAAAAACGACAAATGGATGAAAGCCTCACGCTTTTTAAAATTCAGCGCATACACGCATACAGACAAACACACAAACACACACTGCCCAAATACAGCCAGTCTCTCACAGGATTGCGTTGGACTCACCCTGCAAACTCTATATACTTGTAGATGGAGCCGGCAATTACCATGGCAACGATGGCATAGTACCAGGAGCAGATGAACATAAGAGTGAGACACAAGCTCATCCCCAGGAAGGACAGAGCCCTGTCGAGTGAAAAAGAGAATAAGAAACATCTAAAAATGTTGTATTCAAACAGCTGTTTTTCTCTTTGGAACTGAAGAACTGACCAGTGATAGAACTTGAAGCGGGGTCTCCAGTTTGGAGTCCTCAACAGCGTTTGGAGGGCACAGGCCAGATTCACAAACATGTAGCACATCAGGAAGAACCTGCAGGATACAATTGAACACAATTTACAGCCCAGAACCTCTTATGCAGTGTGACGTTACCCAACTCAGGGGATTTGTTAAAACAGGAAAGCCATCTGCCTCTACGTCTGATGAGATTTTGAGCTTGTGAAGACAGAATCAGGAGTTTGACTGCTTTCGATTCTTCCACCATTGGCTCATAAAAGCTGGAAATAGAAATGATGGGTTTCACATCTTACATGGAAAGGATAGGAGCTACCGCGTCCAGGGAAGCAATGAGGATGCCACTCTCGCAGATACAGGCGGTCAGCAGGAGGGACCATGTGGGTTCTCCGTTGGCCTTCCCGTGGCCGAAGATCTAGAGGACCAAAAAAAAATGACGACCATGTTATTCAGGTCCGAAGTACTTTTTAAACTCCCCCCCTCATTACAACAGCATGTTTAAAAAGTGTGAAAGCCTGACCCGAAGGGCAGGCACGATGCCGTCCTTGGCGATGGCCTGAAGAAGACGGGGGGCTCCTGTCAGGCTCTGAAGCCCCGCTCCGCAGGTGGAGAAGAAAGAGCCAATCACAATCACCCAGGGTGACGGCCAAGCCAATGTGCCTATCACCAAGTTCCCGTGGACGCCCTCTCCGAATCTAAAGGAGATCAACAGCGAAAATGTAAGAAATGGCATCAGAATTTTTCCTTATTTACTATTAACAGCAAACGCAGTTAAGGAGTGAACTCACTTGTCCCTGAGGACCACCCCCTCGATGCAGGCACCGAACAGAATCACGCTGGACATGTCTGAGCAGGTGTCGATCAGGAAACTAAAGCTGCAGCATAGGGACCGCCGGCACGTGCTCCAGACTGGTGACACTTAATAAAGTCTGTGTCAAATGACTTAAATGACTCTATTAGAGAAATAAGAAGCCTTTCCTTTCATAAATGCATTTGAATATCTGATAAACCGGTTACATGTAACTTCGGAGGAAAGACATAAATCGATTTAGTTTATATCTCGAAGATCAATCACAATGTAACAAACATCTTTCAGCTTTATTGTCTTGCACTTGCTTAGGCAGTCAGACGATCTGATTAGAAGTCCTAATCAAATTTGGGGAGACCAGAAGCTGATCACTTACAGAAACACTGGAGGACATTCAAGATGGTTGCTTCATTGTAATCTGCTTTATCTTTAAGCAGGTATTAAAGACACTGGGTAAGAAAAACTGCATCAAAATAGTTACAGAATAGAATATGGTTACTGTGAAGCAATGGCACTAAACTAATTCAGAGGCCCTGTCACAGTGATAAAAAAATAAGATTGATTGGCCTCTTTTCAGTGACGCTTGCATAGTTTTGACAAGTTGTTGAATTTGACAGGTGGGATTGCTGTAGTGGCCTTTCCAAATGTAAGATGCTGACCTTTAATAATAAGGGTTACTGATGGCCTCAGCAGAGAAAGTCAACTCAGTTCATGAAAGTTTAACTCACTCCCTTTTACATCATTGTCAAAATGCCTAATGCTGAATCTTTAAAAAATCGAAATCATATTTTAAAATGGAAATGTATTTGTTCCATTAGTGAGTTGTATTGCCTCTGAAGTCCTGCAGGGGGCAGAAGTGAGAGGATACAGACAGTGGAGGTGGTGGTGATGGCTGCAATGGTGCCAACGGGGATTGACTTCTGAGCATCACGCAGGTCTCCAGATCGGTTTGAACCAGCCATGATTCCTGGAGAGAAAGTTGGAAAGGAAACAGCGTGATTGAAAAGGAAAGATAGGGTGGGTTAAAAGAAGAACAAAACCAGTGGACTCATGCAATTACACAGCTTGGTATGAAAGAAAACATAATTAACATCTATTTGGTAAATCCAATCAAACTGAAACAGCAAAGGGTAAACATCATTTTCACCTGTTACTGATGGGAAGTAGATGCCAACCAGCAGTGTGAAGAAACTGGCGATGTCGGCCAACACGTAGCGGTTAGCGTTGGTCAGAGGATCATCCTGGTCTTCCACTGAATCCATGTATTTCCTTGCAATTAAGTCCCCTTTCTCATAGTAGGTCCCAAACAGATTCTCTGATTTGACCAAAATTGTTGAATTAGGTAAGTTTCAAGGGCTGCAAATTTAGTAAAAAAAACTAACAAAAAAATATATGGACAATAAGTTTCATATTCCCATTAAACCACCTTTAAAAATGTACTTTGCTCCTGAGATATTCCATTATAATTCAGCCACAATCACTTACAAAAGCAACAACCTGCCTAAAAGAGGTTTGCAAGGATCCATTTGCTAAGTTATTGTCCACGGCTCCTCAATGCATGCGCAGTGTTATCTCACATCAGAGTGGCAATTAAACTTTAACCTTCAAGGGCTTTTCGAAAACCAGGGGCATTATATTAAAACCACAATGAGAGGATAACTACATGAGTGAGAATGATTTGGGCTTAGAAAAAGGGTTAAAATAGCTTTTTTTCAAACTTATGAATGCCAATAATTCTAACAAAATAACGAGCTGGTCGCTGAGTAAAAGTTTTCCTGCATTAAATCACTGTCTGAAATTGTAAAGCAGTGATTTTTATGCTAAAGAAGAAGGAAACAGCTTTCTGTATCAATGTGAAAGCATTTTTGGCCAATGATATAAGTAAACAGCATGCTTTTAATTCAGAATCTATACTTACAAATTTTTCCAACCACTTTTGACAGTACCAAACCATCTGAGGGGGGACTGGTCACTTTTAAAAGTCCCCAGATGTGACATTAACGGTTCCTTGTTATTTATCAATATAAAAAGGTCACATTAAATCTTCTCTGGTTCAATGTTGGAAAAGAGCAAAAATATGTGCACATTCAAGGGTGGAGGAGTAATTTCTAAAGGGCAGAGTCTTAACTATGTGCTCTGATTTTCAAATGTAAAACCTTAACACAGGATTTACTGCTAAATACCAGAGCCAAGTAAGGTTAAGGTAGCTCTGGGCTTTCTATGGCTGAGGGTTTCAATTTGTCCACAGCTGAGGAACGACTTCCTTCTGCTTCCTTCTGTTCCGTCTCAGTTAATCTCAATAGATACTTTTGACAAAGAACAAGATATATCCTTAAACACAATCACATATGCAAAGATCACCATGTTTCAGTTGTCTTTTTTCACAGCAGCACATATAAAACAGGTTTCTAGGACTCCGTTTTTTCATGTTCATAATTGCGCCAAAAATAGCAGCATCCTGTCTCAGAGTGATGCAGTGCATGCATGCGTTAGTTCAAGATTGGACTACTGTAATTCTTTATTGGGCTGTCCCAAATAATCTCTGAAAGACCCATAGCTGATCCAAAAAGCAGCTGCCAGAGTTGTGATGAAAACTGACAGAAGAGATCCGGTTTTAGCTTCACTTCAGTGGCCCCCTGAGTGGCTCAGAATAGAATTACAATTCTGCTCCTCACACATTAAGCTCTCAATGATCATCTTCATCATATCTTAAAGATTTCATAGTGGGATTTTTTATAAACAGAGAACTTTGCTCTCAGGCTACAGGTTTAGTTGTGGTTCCCACAGTTTATAAATGTAAAATGAGAGGGAGAGCCTTTAATTATCACACCCATCTCTTATGTAATGCTCTCTACTGTATAGATGAGGCTTTATACTTTCTTTTTTGATAAAGCCTATAGTAATTACTGCGAGTATGTAGTCATAGAATTAGTTTTTCTGAACATTGCATGACTTTACATGTCTGGCTGGGTCATCTTCTTGACTGCAATCCATTTTAGAAAATAATCTATCTCCCTGTAGAATGATGTAAAAGAGCGACTGAAAAACCTAGAGCAACGACATAAATTTTGGACCAACCTGCCAAGATTCCACTGGTGACCCCAGGAATGCCCTGGATTTGAGTCACGTTGTTGGCGGCAAAGTAACTGTCACAGGTGGCATTGAGCAAAGGTGAATCGCAGAACATGCGCCACAGCTGCGTGGTGACTGTCCCATTAGCTGTCTCAATGGTCTTGGCACAAACATCAAAGCTCTTCCACACCAAGGTGCGGTTCCCCAAAAGGCAAACACTAGAGCAGAGGCAAGCAGAGAATTTTAGTTAATGTTTCACAATATGTAACAAAAATACCTAATAATAATGATAAAAATAAAACATTCAATATCTATAATTATCAAAGGTTCTTTTCTAAGTTTCAAGCTTAGAACAGAAAAGAACAAAACAGTTTTAGCTCATGAAAACATGCAGAAATGAAACCACTGATGGTTTTAATCTAAATTATAATAATACCAAAGAACCTATAAAGTCTATTAGGCTTGGATGTGTCTCAGGGCTTAATTGGAGAAAGCTAGCCCAAAATCAGAAAAAACAAACAAACCAGTAACAAAGTCATCTGTGATAATAACTAGGTTCAAACGTTATTTGCATAGTTAAACATACACAACCTCCTGAGTTAATGCAGTTTTCTTTGGTTAATAAATCTACTGGTGCAGAACAAGGTTGTGTCCAGCAAAGCTTGAAGTTAGCTGTCCTATTACTCAATTTTCACCTTTCTTCACATGTGCATAATGAGAGTTCAGATTCGTTCCTGTCTGAGTTCTGGTTTAGCTGAGATGACCTAAAACTCAGCCTAAAACAGTCAGATTCTGATGGACAGAATTGGTCGCAACTGCTTACGGGAAGTCAGGAGCATCTATGCCCGTCTTGATGACTCCGGCATAGACGGCCAGGATGGAGAGGATGACGCAGGCCAGGAACACCAGGGCCAGCTTATTGACGTACTTAACACCAACAAACACCACCGTAGCCATGGATGTCAACAGGATGGTTCCATACACACGCATGTTGTTGAGCAGGGCAGCCTCCGCCTCAGCACCCTCCAGACCCTCCAGGGGAAAGATGGCTGCTTTGGGTGCTATATAGATCTAAAGAAGAGGGTTAAATCCTTATCAATATTGCTCTTTGTGCAACCAGGGAAAAGACAAATGCATTTTTCTGCAAAAAGATCCGCACAATCTTGTTATGACTCATCGCCATCTTTACGGTAGATGTTCTGATTTTCAGACATTGCTTCAACACTTTTCACCCAGGCTCATTTGGGTATTCAAACAGTCAGTTGCTCTACCTCACTGTTTCATGCAGAACTTGATGAATCACTGGTAGAAGGAAAAAGGTGGAAAAAGCAAAAGAAAAAAGACCAAATGCATTTAGAGAGGTGAGACAAGCTGGGAGGAATAAAGTGTGGCACACGCCACTGCTAAATGTAAGAATGTGCTGCTCACATTAAGCATCCTCCATTGGAGCTTTAAGCAGCATACGGGCAGCTCTTTTAATTCAGCTTAATTAAAGAACTCAAGCGTAGAATTAATATTGCAAATTCACGGTCATTACTACACAGTAACTATTACTTAATCTGAGAGCAGTCCCACCATACTGTATAAAACAGCAAACCCACTATTAGTCCATCAGTATATGTCATCAACTTCGGATGATTCATGCAATGCTGTTGCATAAGCACAGGGATTTCTCCTCCTTTCAAACCATCCTTTGGTTTCCAGCACAAACAATTCAACTAATTTGACAAGCTCCGAGAGAAGCGAAAAAGCAAGCAGGGAGTTGTGGCTGAATTCGGACAATTGGCTGGAGAAGCAGATCTGATGCTAATAACAGCGTATCACTGGGCAAACAAATATCCTGCCTCACCGTGAACTGTTCATGCTTCCTTAAATAGCACCTTCAGTTAGTGTTCTTGGCTGGGGTGGAAAGATGAAACATATTCAAATCAACCCTCTTCATATCCGCTCCTCGCAATTCTGCTGGGATTGTTATTTTACAATAGTAACTAAGCCAGCTTTGACCCAGAAGACAGAATTAACCTCCAGGCATGATCAAACTCTGTGTAACTGTTAGAGGCAAGCACAATGAGAATAATACCAGAATGGAAAATGCTTACTCTAAATTGCTGATAACAGTGTACTAAAGTGTTGAAAGCTGTTTCAAGGAATGGTTTCGCTACTCTGCCAGCGTCGTGATGCCTTGCTAATGCAGTTTTTGCATAATTATCCATTATTTCATGCAGAATGGGGGACTGCAGAGGAAGATATGATGAATAAAAGAAGGAAGAGGAGGAGAGGGATGAGGATGAAAGCAGAGATAAAAACATCCCAGCATTTTCTCATAAAACCAGAATTCGGGATTTTATTATTAGTTTCAAAGTGCAGCAAGGAGGGAAATAATAGTTAAAACAATAGAATAGTACAGGGAGTTCGTGTGCCATTTTTGAGCATTTCCACCCTGATTCAAAACCTCATCTGCAGCTGTTTCCTTTATCAGGAAATTTGAACCAATTCGAAACTTGTCGAGAAGATTAAAAATGAGGGGATCATCTTCCTGCTGCTTAACAACAAAATAGTGGTGAGCATGGATGAGATTAACAAGCAATACAGGTTGCTATAGAAACACTGGAACCTAAATATTTCAACATACTGCTGTTTACGTTGCTGGGACTGAAGAATAAAACTGATGCTGGTGGCAAAAAAATCCTGCTAAAAGTATAGGAACAGAAAAATCAGACCCAATTTCAGAACACATCCTCGATTGATTTTTTTAATGCCTCTGTGCAGCTGTTGCTATTTGCCTCATTGAACTGTTTTCAACATTGTCTGCCCATTTCCAGAGGAACATGGTCAAAACATATTTGATATATTATCAATTCAATCTGATAAAAGGTGTAATATTCACTATCTGCCATGCAATTGTTGGAAAATAACACTCACATAACACCCACATCCCCATAGAATACATTTCCTATTAATTAGGAATCTACCATCTTTTTCGTTTTTAGCTATTCGTGTTAACCCTTTAAAGCTTGATCCAAGAAAAAAAAAGAGAGATTTTTTCTTTTAAGTCTTCATTTTGCCCCTGAACAAAATTTGAAACGATGGATTTTATACAATTTCTACTGAAGTTACACAATCACATGTATTTTGAAAATCTGGTTTTGAGAGGACAAACGATATCACTTGTTTTTTTCAAACTGAAGAAGTTGGTGAAAAAATGGAAACATTGATTTTCCCGAAAGTTGTAAGATTGGTTAAAAACACTCTCAGGCTCGTTTCCCATCTCGTTTCCACAACACACTCTGATAACCGTCTCGTGACCCTGACAGTCTGTCACATCCACAAATAACAGGTGAGATTGACTCACCTGATACCAGCCCTGCTGTAGGAGGACAGTAACAGAGTGCGATGATACTGGATGCAGACACTGACATTGGATGTTACTTACCAGGAGAAGCTCGATGGCTCCCAGGATGTACATGGCTCCAGCGTAGGTGGTTCCCAGATAGAAACAGATCCCCACTGCTCCACCGAACTCAGGGCCCAGTGAACGGGATATCATGTAATAGGATCCTCCAGCTGCACACATACAGTACAAACACCATGCAGCATTTGTATCATTTAGTCTGTACGCAGCCCAAGCATGACTCGTTGTAAGTGTCTTATTAGTAAAATTTTAGTTTTGACATTTCTGTGTCTCCTTTTTTTGATCTGCAAAAAAACAATTAATAAAGCAGTTATTAAATACTTGATTAAATACTGATTCTAACCCATAAAATTAAAGCCCATGTTGAATTCAAATGATTAGAATTTGTCATTCTGCAAACACTATATGACAGCTGTACTGTAAAAAGGTTATAATTCCCCCAGTAAGGATGGCATCAATATTCTAAAACAAAATTTGACGTGTAACGTTCTGCAGAAAATTTCAATCAATTGACAACTCGTTAATTTAATGCAAATATGCTCAATACAAATGTGCTCTCACCTGTTGACCCCTCCCTTTGATTGTAATTGTGTTTAATAGCAGTTAGTCATGATGCTTTAAAAGTCATCTGTTATATATTTTATCTGTGTCCCACAGTTTTCGAGTGGTTCTGGTTTTAGCTGTGCTGGCTTTGTAAAAGCACAGAGCCACATATTAATATTGTCTTATCACCCCGTCTCAACACAGGGCCTCTGTATTTGCGTGCAACCGTGTGCCAACTAATTAATTGGGCATAAATAAATAGACCTTAATCAGCACGTTGCAGCAGCATTGAGGCTTCTACCAGTTATAGAGCAGACAGTTATAATTGGCGTACAGATCCCGGCTCCTCTACAAGCCTGTAATTTGCTCTGACCCCTGCTGTATGAACTCCAACTGGTAAGACACAGGGCATCATTACTACGTAACACCGCATTACAAAATGCAGCTACTCTACATGTGCACATTAACGCGTCGTCATACAAGCACAAACCTGCCAAATGCAAATTTTTATGGCGGGCATTTGGCTGGCGTCTTATTTTGTGTAAATAGTGTCGTGTGACGGAGAAGTTAGAGTCTTCAAGATCGCAGACTAAAGCTCTTAATATTTCTGGTGATATCAAGCTGCGCCCGGAGTACCGTGCCAAAAGCAATCAGTGAAAATAGCAAATTTAGAAGCAGGCAGTTTCAAACAGACATGACTGTGTGGCACCGGCGTCTGCTCACCCACCTGGCACCACTCCATTGGTAGCGATGGCACTCATCGAGATGGCAGTCAGCATGGTCTGTAGGAAGAAAAAAAAAAAAAGGTCATGTTGATCAGATTCTGTGATGAAAAGCTGATTTTGTCATCTTTCAGCCTTCAAAATGGTCAAAGAAGGACTCATTGATTTATTTGATAAACCCTGATGTATAGCATGACTAAGTGTAGTTTGATATCGGAAGATTTTAGAAACAGTTACCTAGCAAATGCTACTGGGAGGTTACACCTCTACCCGGAGCTCTATGACTCAGTATGTAGCTGCAAAATCGCTGTGAGCTCAGTGTTAATGTCAGCCAGCACACACACACGCACACACACACACACACACACACACACACACACAAACTATGAAAATGAAGGCTGACATGTCAGCAGGAACAGTTTCTAAGCCACATCATCCAAAAGACTGGAAACAGCGAGCCTGGATTTAACTTCAGCTTTTTAGAACCGATTAGAACAAAACTTAAGGCACTTCAAAGGCAGATGAGCATATAATTAGCTTGGGATATATTTTGCCATGAAAAAAAAATCAGTAGTTTAGTAAATTAATTAATAGTCTTATAGTTTAGGGAGATCAAAGCAAGCCACCTTCTTTTTATCAGCTAAATTTGAGCAATTTAATCAGATTAAATGCTTAAGAAATCCACCCATCCATTTTCCATATCACTTATTCCCAACCGTGTTGCGGATACTTAGGACATCTATTATCTTTGTCTTCCTGGAATATACAGAACCTTCCTTGAAAAGATTTTAGACTGCATGGGAGTGTCTCTTTATATAAATCTTCATATTCTAAGAATCATTTGATGATACGGATACTTTGGATGATTAAATATTATTAGGTGTTTTCAGTTTGAAGTTCATCCACAATCAGAGGATGCACTTTTGGCAGATTATTGAGCCTTGATTTCTTCCTTTTTTTTCATTTCTTTGTTTGACTGACTTTTAGCCATTAACTTAATTAGTTGAAACATGATCATCCTGCTGTGTCTTCACTTTTCCAGCCTTACGTTCCATCCAATGCTAAATGAGTTAATGTCAGTCATAAAATAAAACAATATCCTACTTATAAAATTAGATTTTATATGTATATTTTTAGTTGCGAATTTCTGTTGTGTTGTGAATTAAATGTCTAGTGGAAGATAGGCTTCTTCCTAAGTGCGACACTGCAGCAAAAAGTCCCCCATAATGAACTTATGTAACAACATGAAGATCACATTGGTGCAGGAGAGAAAGTCAATGGATTTCTTAAGTCATTAAGTTTCTTCCTGTGGCTATCACAAATATCTATTTAACTATCTTTGTAATCCATCTGAGGGTTTATGAGATATTTTTGTGTGGGCCACTCAAGTTGCCGGAAATTTTCTGTCCTAGAGCCATTATTAGGGCAAGGAATTACATAATCTTATAAGTACTTTTAGAGGTAAAGTAAACAAACAGCCTAAGTGACAGACACTGGTATGGAGTTTCTGTGGGGACAATAGCACTCTGCAGCAATGCTAAAAGCTAAATTATTATGCTGTTTGACTGAATAAACAGAAACTCCACAGGGCTTGTCAACAGCTGTCAGAGCATATTCAGAAAACTAATCACAACTCAAATCTAAGTATGCTACTGAAAGGGGGACAGAGCACCATAAGAAATGTAAGAGCATGCTCCAGTGGAGCTGCTTCCTCGCTGACAGCCCGCTCTGGCTGCCCTGCAGAGGACGAGAGGGAGAGATAGCGTGCCGTTTGTGGCAGAACAGGCCAGGAAAGTAAAAAAAAAAAACACAAAGTGAGAATCTGAGGGTGACAGAGATGGAGAGAAACAGGGCGTGTTTGACAGTAAAAAGACTGCATTAAGGTTTTATTATTCTTTCGTACGCCACCGCTCCGTTTCTGAGCTCCTCTGTGCAATGTGACAGAGAGAATCACGAGGAGGAGATGTGACGACAGTCTAGTGGAAATCAGTGCTCCACAGTCTTTGCCCTTTTTCTTCCTGACTCAAGGCTGTAATTGCTGTGTTTCTTAATAATACCTTAATATACCAATAACTGTACATACACATTTTTTTGGTTGAAGTTGATGTCTGGACGGTAAAGTAATCTTATTCGGGGGTAAACTTTCAGATCTGCCAATATGGGTGAAGAATGAAATTGATCACATCATATCTTTTTCTAAACCCGGCTAATGTTATGAAAAATCTAATATCGATCATGTGGCGCAGCACTAAGAAAGTGTCTGATTCTGTTATTTTCTTCATTTGAGCTGCATTATGATTGTCCAGTCACTAGCTACAGCAGCACAGAGTCGGTCACTTTCCAGCGTTCCTCAGAACACTGCGCTGGCTGTGTTTGAATGTCATCACACACGTCTCTGTGCAGACCGTAATGTGGTTAGTGTCACCTGAGGGGCCCGGTGGGCTGATGATCAGGACTGAAGAGTTAGTGAGTATCTGTTTCTATTGTCTAATCTGGTCATAATGAGGCCACAAGCTCTTCTCCCACCACAGCAGATAAGACAGTAATTGTTAAAGTGTTTTATCTGATGTGGGCAGCAGCCACGCAGAGGTAGCCAGCTGCATACCCAATCACTGAATCATCATGCAACCGTAGAGAAAAGCCAGCAATGGAGGATTTATTCTGGCAACAGAATGGATTGATGGAATATATTTCAGAAAACCTTTATGTTGAATTACATATCTTTCAGAAGAAAACTGGATTAAATGTAGAGTTTAAATTAGTAGCCTGCAGTAATGTTTTATACTTTCCATATTTTTCTTTTAAGAATAACTGTCTTTACTTTGCATGCTGCAGTATTTTAATGTGGATATGGGTTATCACAAAAGCATGAGAGAAGAGGATGTGGTGAGTTTGGAGACTATTTCAGTGACATAGGCTCTACTTTGGGCTTTCACTTTGTTGTGGAATCAGTATCCAGCAAATTAGAAGAACTGCCATCAGAGAGGTCGACTATCCTTTTTCACGTGTAGAAAGATGTTAAGGACAGAGAGGCAGCCTGATCTAACTTTCTTCTCTCTCTATGAATACGTCACTTGCATTCTGCAGCGTGAAGCAGCTGACAAGGCTGCTTATTTGTTTTCCTGAGATTTGGAGCTTTGGATTGCTGTACTTTAGCACATTGTAATTTATGCAACCATCAACTGCATATTCAAGACCTTTTCAGGGGCACTTTATGCGTGGGTGCAAATGTAATTAGCCACATAGACAGCTAAATTCAATAAATTTGGTAGTGACAGCTGTGACTTGAGTCGTCAATCTCAGTGGAGGCTGGCTGGAAATGAGACGCATGCTACACCTCTGTGTGAAACTGAGAGGCTGCTCTTTTAAAAAATCACAGATTTTTAAATGGTACATCATCCAATATTATCGCTGTCATGTGCTTTGGGAGAAAATAAATCTTAATAAACAAAAGGGCAGAAACAAAAAGCAGAATTCCTATCCATGAGTAATTTGTCAGTTTTTCAGTGACGTCTATATCAAACAAAATATAAAGAAAAGCTCCAGGCAGGGCAAAGAAAAAAGGCCATAATATCATATAAGTCATCACTTTGTGTCTAACCAGATAAAGAAATTAGAGACATCTTGGATCATCTTGTTTTGTGACAGGGTCCAGCTTCCCCGAGCTCTGAATCAGCATCCTATTGGTCAGGGTTCTGCTGTAGAAGCCAGGGTTGGCGGCATCTTTTTTTTTTTTTTTCCCACTGACCCAGAGCCTGTGGCCTGTTTAATCGTCCCACTTTCAGTCAGACAGAAACTGGGATAATCTAAGAGTACGTAGCTGTTGCTGTTTGGTTCTGCTAGTGATAGCTTTCTCTGAGACCTGTGGTCAGTGCCTCCAAACATGGACCCGCCGGCCCTCCGGCCTCCAAGCATGCCAGCGGACACTGCCAGATTATGCCGCCCCGCCATCTGTCCAATCCACACGAGGTCCAACAGCACACAGCTTTCATATCAGACAAAGGGGGGTGCTTTACTCCCAAAGAAAGTTTGACCGGCTGCACAACCTGATTCGGTTGTTTGCAAGCTAAAGGAACATATTTGAGGCCGGACGTCTGCCGGCTGATGCACTCCCTAACTCTGAGCGCAAAGGACATTTTCGGTCTGTTCTGTCCCAAAGCTACAAACAAAACTCAGATGTGGCCTTTGGTCGACCTTAGAGCTGAGCAGAAATGAGTTTGGACAGAAATGGGGGATTTTATGCTGCCCTGAGAGGGTGCTTCATTATCATGCTTCATTACACAATGCAGAATGGTTTTATGCAATTACAAATTCATCAGTTCGACTACAGCCGGACAGTAGAGGACTATTTTCGGCATGCTGTTTCTCACTTGAAATCCTCACGGAGGGTGTAGCGAGGGAGGGAAAGGTGTCAGATGAAGGAGGAGGTGCAGAAGACTTTGACTGCCAGACTGACAGCCAAGATGGAAGCCGATCACAGGGAGGACTGAGATGCAGCTGTGCGGGTGAGGTGGAAGGAGGTGGCCGAACGGGACAAGAATGAGACGGCAGGGTGGAAAAAAGAGCGGAGACAAGGAAAAAAAAAAAACACATGAAAAAAAGGAGGCAGACAAGGGGTGACAGTGACAGTGGAATGAAGATAAGAAGACAAAGAGGAAGAAAGAGATGCGAGGTAAAAATGAAAGAGATGAAAGGAGGGCGGCATTCTTAGAATCTAAATGAGTCATGTCAGAGGGCAGACATCCCTTTTGCCCCTCACAGCTTTTGGATTCAAGACCTGGGAGTAATGAGGAAAGCTGAACAACACACGAGTTTCCATTGCGAATATCAAACCTCATTTCATCTTCCTGACAACCCTGCATTCATTATGCGATAAAAATACGACACGCGCAGGATCTTTGACTCCGGGAATGATGTCTGCAGCGTGCCAGGGCGTCAGAGCGGTGGTCGGGGAGTATAATTTTACAGTTAATGGTTGATGTGTCCAGGAAGTTTCCGGTGGAAGTTGAGTGATGGCTGTGAGGAAGCGCCTGATGAAAAGTGTGCTGTCACTGACACGCTGTCGCGTAAATAAGTGATAAGGGGGTCACGCCGTATGTGATCAGGGTCTACAAGGTCTGCGGTTACTTTACACAGATCCTGCAAGCTTTCAGGTGGGGGATCACAGCATGCGTGTGTGCACACATGCATACGCGTTCACTCCTCCATTTGTGTTGCTGGCAGCCCCTGGAGGTCTGGGTGGTTATGTGTTATGTAAGAAGCTCAGGAGGAGAGAGAGGTGGGGGTTTCTCACACACACCGTTCATGCTCAGGCTTATCGCCCCAGGGCTCAACTATGAGCTCTGAGACTGATAAGAGATGTGTGTGTGTGCGTGTGGGTGTGTGAGAAAATGTATTTTAGAGTATAAATACCATATGTTTTTACATGGAGGGGACTTTTAAGTGTTAATGTGAGTGCGTATGAGCATAGGAAATGGAGCATAGATGTGTGTTTGTGCGCTGGCTTTCTGTCAAACTGTGTCTGAAGCTTTGATCTTTCTGCCTTTTTTTCTTTTATACTATTTCTAGCACAAAATGGGAACGGCTTTCGTTTTTTCATGAGCCAAATAACAAAGCTATTGTCTTCCGGAAAATAATTTGGCATATTTGAGTCCTTTCAATTATTAAATAGCAATGGCGTCTTTTTAGGAAAAAAAAAAGGTTTACTCAGTTTAAACATTCTTTTTAGAGGCTATGTCGTGGTTTTTACCACATTTACATGTCAAATTAATCCAAGAAAAATCCATTCAAAATGTAATGTTTCGATTTGCTCTTTACTGTGTAAAGGTGCTCTGTATACTGCCAAAAAGAGACAGGATTTTGAAGGAATGTACATTTGTGCAGGCAACTTTGTCATGGTTGGGATTTGAGGGGGTAGTGCTATAAATACACTCAGTGCAAGAGGAGAATCTAGGTTGCACAAACACACAGACATACTGACGGGCCATAACTCACAGTACAAATCATAGAAAAAAGAAGTACAAAGCTCTAATAGCCGATTGACCACACAGTTTGAATTAAACTTAAACATATGAGGAAAGACGCATTGGAATTTCCATCCTAAAATTCTCGAATGTGAATGTGTCTATAACATGTCCAGATATCTGCCTCTTTCAGCTGGAAAAGCAGTCGCCGAAATAAGTCAATAGAAGAGATGTTCAGCTTTCAGCAAAGAGGCACAATAAACGCGTCCTGACAATGAAATGCATCAAACAAGTCAAACACAATCATTTTGCAGCAGACACTCTGATAACAGACAGCAGCACCGTCGATCTTCTGGGACAGTGTCGGGCGTAATTTGAGTCTCAAGGCCACTTCAGGGTGTCAGTCCAAAGTCACTGTGACACATGAATAAAGCTCTGTGGCACTGACAGTGATGGAAACAGCAAAACATCGCAGCGTGTCATCATCCGTTTTGTCCTTTTCACAGACTGAATGCGCAACACCTGGGATGGTCCTTCTTTTCACCACCAAGTTTCTCCTGAAATATGGGCTTACTTGGAAAAATCCTTTGTCAGTACAGGTGTGTCGTTACATTCTTCTCATCTTAAGCTTTTAAACAGAGATGGAAACATTTCGCAGGTGTGTGGAAACATTTCTGATATCCATCAGACAGTAACTCATCAGGCACTGAGATTTTTCCAACAAACTACATGTGGCCGAAGAAGAAACTGAAGATTTAAATTGCATCATGGTTGATTTTTGTGTGAAATGTCATTTAGAAAGTGGAAAGCAACGTACGGGTCAGCAGAGACTAAGCTGAGGAAGCTATAATAAGCGCTTGTTTGCTGTGAATACATCTACTGCTTCTGACAGAGTTGCACTTCCCGTACAGGCTTATTCTTACAATGCCAGGTAATCATATAGTCCCCACTCGGTCTGTTGTCATGATGAATATGAAATCTTTAATTGAAGCTTATCCCACTATCCTGAAGGCATACACATCGTTCAAAAAGCTGAAAAAGTGCCCAACGAATGGATGCTTCAGTTATTTTACCAGCTGTTTGAAAAAAACACTGATCCTTGCAAAAATGTTTGATGATATGATTAAAAAAATATAATAGGTAAACACATCCAATGGAGTTTATAACAAAATTACAATCTGCTTAGGTCTTTTTTTTTTGTTCACAAAAATATTAGACTTAAATTAGACAGTGTGTCAACAGGGCAACTTTTACTATTTGTCAAAAGTAAGCTATTCTTACTAAACTGTCAAGTTTTTCAATGCTAACATTTGTAATTGCTCTGCCTGACTTTCGCTCTTGAGATGAATGATTTTCCAACTGTCAGAAAAATCTTCATGAGCCACTCAAAATCCAATTGAAACCTTCTGCTCTGACCTTCAGAGCAGATTTGAAAATAAAATCAGGCAAAAGACTCACTGTGGTACAGCACATGAAGACGATGATGAAGGTGCCGATGACGCCTCCGATTCCCACCAACCAGGTCATCCTGAGGAAGAGGATCACTCCGAAGATGTTCTGGATGCACGGCAGATAGACGCCCATCAGGGTGCCGAGCTGGGGGGCCTGGAGAAGACGGGACGCAAGTCAATCAAAGTTTTACAACACAACTTGTGTGATGAATAGCTTAACGATCATCCTCACTTCACTGTTGCAGTTTATGATGTGTGGTATTACATTGAATTTCAGGCAGTTACCATTGCAAAGACAGTTCTCTAGCTTAGTATCACTCGCCAGATTGTTTTAGACTCATTTGCCAGGTGTGCGGCTCTGACTGAGTGAGTCCCGTGACATCTCGGCAGAAATGGGACTCAGTTAAACACAGCCATGTATGCTGGGAACATGCAGATCTACCTTAAATGGAGAGTGCTGTCTTCTCTTATACGCGCAAAAAAGCTCCAATGTTTCACAGCACAGATGGCCACAGAACCATTGTAACAGGTGTCTCATTGCTGGACTGTCTCCCGTTGCCACATTAAATGCATTAGGATTCATCGTAAATCGTAAAAGTTGCTGTTTTGAAGTTGTTATATATGCTATTCATTGGTTTAGGCATAAAAGGCCTCTACATGCTCTAATTAATTCAATGCATTACCATGTAGAATGGTTACTTTGAGTCCAGATAATGTAGAAACCTTTTGCAATCAGAGAGCAGCCATGGGACCAATTCAGCTCAATAGGTGTACAGTATATCATTGGATTTTTTAAATAGCTTTTTTTTATGCAGTGGATTTTACTGCTGTGTCCCTGCAGTGGGTCACTGGACAAAGAGAGCTCTTCTATATTAGAGGTGTCAAACTACAGTCCTCAAGGGCCGCTTTCCTGGAGGTTTTTGGTGTTTCCCTGCTTCAACAAAACCTGATCTTCATCAGTGTGCTATTAGCAGGCCTGTGCAGAGCCTAACAATGTTTTGGCGTGATCCTTTTCAATCATAATCAGGCTTGTAGAAACAGGAAAATGCCTAAAACCTGCAGAACAGAAGCCCACGATGACTGAAGTTTGACACCCCTTCTCTACGGTGTACCACTGGGTCCTGTTGCACGTGTGAGTCTGCATCGTGATCATGGCGTCTATTAAATCTGAAGGACTCATCCAATGACCCTGCACACAGCAGAGGAATATTCATTTCCTGCTCAAGGACGGCTACGTCAAAGATGGGTAATTATGCCCATATTCAGCCGTGACCCATTCTACCAAGTGGGAGTCTGACCTTAACACATCATCACAGAAAACAACACGTGGACAAACTCTCTCCGCTGCTTTTGTGAGCTTAAACACAAATAGGATGGATACTGGGGACAGCAGCTGATCTTCATGATAACACATTTATTGTTCAGGGATAAGTTTAATTAAACCAATTTTCAGAATTGGCTAATTCAGACAGCAAATATCTAATAGCCTGGTGAATCAGTGCTGTCTTTGCAAGAGAAGAACCTATAAATCAAACATTTTGATAAATACAACTTTCACATGCAACACAAATCACTTAGTCTTCAAATCAAATTAACGTTTTTCAAAGAAAAGAATGTCAATTTGGCTTTCATCCAAAAACTGCCCCGGTCCAGTAAAATCCAAAAAGACAACGAGCTGTTTATTCCATATGCAAGCTGATGAGATGGCACTTTTGCCACCTGCTAGTAATGAGTATTTTTTAATCACATTATGCTGGACCTGTCTGTTTTGAATTTATATGACAGTGTCACCTCAAAAACCTGCTGGCTTAACGTAGAACTTTAAACCGTTATGAACTTTACTGAAGTTTACATTAAAGTCAGCCAGCAAATGATGAAAAACTAGCCTCGTTGTTTTATTGAAATACAAATATTTGGTTATTTTTTGTCAGGACACTTATTCTTTGCAAGCTTGATCGACTTAGACTTGTTTTGGTAATTCCACAAGATAAGAGTGTACCAGGTTACAGAACAAGTTTTAAGACCTGACTGGAAAGGTGGATCCTGATTATCTAGAGGCATTTAGTTGAGATTTTGCAAAAAGGTTTCCAGCTAAGCTAAATAAAAGGTATGAATACAGAACCAAAATTTGAGCTTTAGTGAAAATTTGTATTTATAATTCTGTGTTTATATATATACAGTATATACATATATATCTTAATGTCAGCACTATGATGGCATTGAAACAAATATAAATGATTCTCAGTCACAAAAATATGTTTATTTCATGGTAGTTGTTGGATTCAGTGTAACGTGAGTGACATGATACATCATGGAGACAAGATGGAGGATTTTTTCTCTCTCTTTTTTTAAAGAAAGCCTCCAGTAGGAAGTGACAGCAGATGCTAAATTCTGAAAACAGATTTCTAATTGAATCATCCTGACAAGACGGTGACAGCAAAGGAATAATAGTGCGCGTGATGGTAGACTATGTGTTTTTGTTTGGAGGGCCTAGCTTTCAAGCATTAATAAACTTCTATTTATGAAGAGGAGGAGACAAAGCAGCAGCTGCACAGTGGGACACAGACAGAACAGGTCCAAACACGTCCAACAAATATAATTATCCTCCACTTTCTTTTAGATAAACAACAGAGCTTGTCCCCGTAGCTTTAATTAGACAGCTTAACACTTCGGTGGCCCCTAATCCAGTCGTGAGAAATGATCTATCATCATATCATATCATTATCTGACAACTTAGCATGCAAAATTTGTGTATACTCCGCAGCATTTGTGATGAGTAACGTGGCCAGCCTTCAGATGCACTAAGTAGCTACATGTAAACAGGGCTTATTACAGGAATTTACATGGACTCACCCACTAGTAATAAAAAAAATCATTTCAATTGGGCCAATGCCAAACAGGATGAAAATGCATCTTTTGGTGCTGGAAGACTGGTCTGAGGCTACAAATTCTGTAACATGAGCAACAGCATTTATTTATTTTGGCTACCAATTTCTTTTTAGATTTTTTTTGAGTAATGGCTGTATAATATTGCGATCTTCTGTCAAAGACTGTGAAGGTTTTATCAGTACCAGTGACAAAGAATATTTCAATGTCGTCTAAAACCCATTTGTCACATTCCTGTGTGTGTGTGTGCATATCTGTGTGTATGATTTGTCTTCCACAAGGCTGAAATTTAACCTACAACTTCACCTCCAACAGCTTAATCCTCACAGTTGGGAGTCTCACAGCCCTCAACCTGGCTGTGCTTTAATCAAAGATCTATGCTTTGGCCTCCACAGGTTGCTCGTGGGATCCACTGAGAGCAAACCTCATTCGTCTTTATCACATCCCCCACTGTATGATAATGATTTACAGTCGGCCTGTTGTCTATGCTATGTAAATCAGATTGTGACTCACTGTGACTGTGCCCTTCACTGTGTGGCAGGGAGGATTTTTCATCATCTGCACGTCAAGGAACTTAATGACATTTTTTCAGATTCCGGAAACTTTGACTTCAAATACACGCATTGTCTATTGTGTCTGTGAGAGTGTCATGAAATGATGCTGCAAGTTTTATATGGCCAGGGGGCAGAAGATTTCAAATACATTCCCTTATTAAAAACCAGACTACTTTGTATAAATTCCATGCTCAGCTGACTCAAGCTATGTTTGACCTGCCTAACTATCAAGATCACTGTCCGCGCCCCTTTAATACAGTATTTGGGGATAATCTGTCTATTAACTGAAGTTTTCCCCACACTTTGACGGTGAGGACTGTGTTGAAAAATGGTTAAGATATTCTGCTGCCTTTAGCTTTCTTTGTACTTGTAAAATTTGCTCCACAGATGTCTTTGAGTTTCCTGATTTTGACAGATGACGGCGTGCAGAGTGACTGATTAAAATGCTCCGAGTGATGGTGTGTTGGAATGTTGACAAAGATCATTTTTGATGTGGTTATCAAAGCAGCTGCACCGGTAATCTGGTTGCACTTCACCTTTATGTTTTTGACAAAGGTTTTAATCCATGTTCAGTGGAAAATGTGTTCAGTCGTAGGAGTAAAACAGCCAAGGCTACAGGGATGACTTCACCGGTTTAAAAGACTTCGAAACTCTAACAAAGTCACTTCCTTTCAACCTCCAAAATTATTTTCTGTCCCATCAACCAGAAACACTGTAATTAAAGAGGCGGCGTTTCCATTGGCAGGTCCTTCGGGGGCTTGTGTGTAATATATGATACAGTCAGGTGTTGCAGGCGGACAGTTACGGCTGCGGTCAGCGCTTTGTTGTTTCACCCAAAACTGCTGCCGCTGCACAAAACAGGTTAAGGTCAGTTTGTAACATAACAGGTAGCTTATTGAGGAAAAGCCTGTATGCATTACCAAACTGTAATACGACACAGAGGGGAGAAAACACCTTTAAGGGGATGAATGTTCTTAAAAACTTTTGGTGATGATGCGTGATTTTAAAAAAAAAATCTGTCTACTGTGCAAGTAAAAAAAAAACACAGGCTCCAATCTTTGGCCTTCAAAGGTGTTCAAATACTCGTTAGCGTCGCAGCCACAAAAATGTGTTCGTGCTGAACAACACTCGACAGGAGAGTGACAAAACCAAGGCAGGAAACAACAGCGCACTCCAGACTTCCAAATGTCATTTCTGCTGCCTGCTCTCCAGCACAATAGAAGGCCACAATCAAGCGGACCTTCTCTGCCGGCCTGCTGTATGAGTGTCTCTGGAAGCACACTGCACTTGTGTGCATGAATTATGATCCAGGTTCGGCAATAGGTGGAAATTTGAAAGACGGTATTTTAACGGAACAACAGCATAATAACAGAAATCATTGTAGTTACATCAGATGTCGAGATAATAGCAATAAATAGGGTTTAGACTGACTTAGAAAACACTTCTGCGGGTATGCCAAACACTGACGTAGAAATCTTGCGGGCATGAATGTGTTTAATGACTGTATATTGAAAAACAGGCTTAAACAGATGGGGGACTTGCACATTGGCCCTGTGAGGTGAAAAGGCTCAACGCTTATTGAAAGTCCCCTTCTCTATTTTTTCTCTCAATTGGCGTATCATTAGCCAGTTCGTGGACAGGGATTGCGGTCCCGACCAGCATCGACTTGAATAAACTCCCACATGCATGCAGAGGGAGGGTGTGTTTAATTGGCTGGGA